TGTGCCCGATGGCCAGTCCGGGCCTGATCATATATATAAAACACAGTTTGTCTAGGGGTGTATACATCAACAGAAACATAAACAATTATGGAAATCTAAATTGTTTTTTATATAACATTTTGTATAGTTGTTAGTTAGTCTCCCGTTAACTGATGCATGTGACAGTCTTTGATTTAGGAACCCAATTAAAAATTGCTGGTGCTAGAAAGAATGCTATTTTTTTTCAAGTAAAGGATGTAAATAAAAGATAGTGAAAGCTGGTGTCAGGCCCAAGAACACAAGAACAGAAAAATATTGTATGTTTTAAAAAAAAAATGTGAGTTCAACCCTTTCAAAGCATGAGTACCGTTTATTATAATCAGGCTTACTGACCATTCGATCTTTCACTGACCATTTGATCTTTCAAGCTACATATACAGTAATACTTGAGCTACGTAATAAGGAATAGAGAAGTAGAAAGCAGGACATGAAACTGACACCCTGTAACATAAAATATATAGCTCTGTATGTCTAGGGGAATATTCACTAAGCATTGCATAGGTAAAACAATTTGTTTTCCAACAGCCTCCTTAGTGTGTGGGTCCTGGGCTGAATCAGACCAGCAGTGGGACCCACGGGGCAGCAGGAACCACGGGGCAGCTGCCTTGGGCTCCCCAGAAGTAACTGAGCCTGGGGCAGCTGTGTTAAAGACTGCCCTGGCAGTGAATTGAAAAACAAAATTTAGGTTAAAATGGATAAGAAAAAATTCTTCCACTCTGCTATCGCTACAGTTTCCCAATTTTAACATGCAATTTTGATTTTCAGTTCACCACAATTTAGTGATCCGTGAACAAACCTCAAAAGTTACAGGGTTACTTACTAAGGAGAGATTTCAAAGTGAAATGCACATGTAATATAAAAATTGCTGAACTGGAAAAATTCTCTAAGTCAGCTTTGCGTTCAGTTTGACTACTCTGGCTTGAAATCCACTTTGAAGTCTAACTTTTGTAAATATGCTGCTATTTATTAAATAGACCTCACAGATTTATTGAAAAAAACCATAAAGAGATTTTAGTCTGACCAGTCTGGCTGAGTATGAGATGGTTACAGTTACAGAACATTTTTTTTTTTCTTGGGAAACAACTTTAGAATTGCATTGCATGTGAATATGTTTGTGCCTTAAAGGCTTCCGTAGTTGTGTGTTTGCATGGTTTTGCTCACTAGAGGAAGTAAAAAAAAAAAAAAAAAAAAAGTAGTTCCTGCAGCATGTAGCCTTCATTGTGACCTCCTGCATTGGTGATAAGGGCAGATACAGTGCTCCTAGTTTACATCCACTATGTTGACAAATAAGTATGTAGTTGCTGCCTCTGTGGTTGGGACAGTGCTGGGGGGAGGAATCCTGCTAAAGTGAGTATTAACATCATGTCAGTGTGTCTATATTACATTTTAGTTACATTAAATTTGACTTGAATGATCTGATTACATTTTAGTTACATTATATATGACTTGAATGACCTCATTACATTTGAGGAATCCTGCTAAAGTGAGTATTGACATCATGATGATGTTGAGGTTAGCTTCTTATTCGGCCAGCTTCTTATTCAGTGATAGAAGATAGCTTCTTATTCATCTAACTTCTTATTAAAACATGACGTTTATTCATTCAAAATGTGCAAGATAAATATTACTTGATTAATACAGTATTCAAATGCAAGCCATTTTTCTACACATTTCTGATATAGTAACAAATAATGAAAACAATATATAAAATACTAAATGTTATTATATAAATTAAGTTTACTCATTCAAATTGGCTCTTGTTTCTGTAAAGTAGTACATTGTATCTTCCGCCTCTAAAATAAATCAATAACACCTTTTCCAAACAAAAGGGGCATCAAAATGCCACCTTCAAATCAATGCCTCTTAAAATAAATCCATCTTCGCCATGTTGTCATTGATTTCTATACACTGGACACCCTTCTTCATCATACAATAATATTTATTCTGAGCCAAACTACAACATTGGTTAAAAACTGGCACCAAAGTGGCACCATCATTCAATGCATTTCAATGGGGATTTCTGAATAAGTAACCAAGGTTTTCTTACATTAAAGCCATCTTGGCTCACCCAAGATGCCATTTATTTCAATACACTGGGGTCCCCTCTATGTCATCAAATAACATTTAGCCTGAGCCAACCCACATTTCATATCAAAAGCTGGCACCATCAACTCATGCATTTCAATGTGGATTTCTAAATAAGTATCCAAGGTTTTTCTATACAAAAACCATCTTGGCTCACCCAAATTTACATTATAATAGGCTGTCACTTCCTCCCAGCTGGCCGACATTACAAGTGCCTGTTTGCGGTCTTAAAGGACCGCGGCACTCGACCAGGTCCCTGTTCAGCAATAATGTTTCCATGGTGCTATAATCTTAGCACCGGGGAAATATTCTTTGGCACCTCTGTATGCACGTTGTGACACCCCATTGCACCGCGCCACACAGTTTGGGAAATGCGGCTCTACACTGTTTTCAAAGAAAGTAAAATAAAAAAAGCATGTGGTTGCATTTTTCATATTTCTTTCTACTTCATTTAGGGATTACAGGCGCAGTGGCAACGGCCCCAGTAAAGCAATGATAACTGGCAAGACTGTGATAGTAACTGGTGCAAACACAGGAATCGGTAAAGAAACCGCCATGGATCTGGCAAGAAGAGGTAAAGTACAATGGGAATAAGGAAGAAACATAATAATCATTGATATGTGCTCACTAAGGAACCTGTTCTCTAAATGCAGAATTTGCTACAGCAAATATGGCTCCTTTCATGTGGTTCAATTCTGTAGCATTCGATAGGTATTAAGATTAGGATAGGAATTAATTTAAGGCTTACTATACTCACCACATAAAGCTGAATAAAGTTACTATTTTAAAATGTATCCCATTGCTGCAGTGAGAGTGAACTAAACATAGCTAAACTACAGATTAATTTTCCCTGTTATAATGGAAAAAAAAAAAGGTTCCACTAAGGTAAGAGTACAGTTTGGGGTGGATTTACTGTTGGGGTATTGTTAAAGGGTGTTAGGTGTATGTTAAGGCAACTTAAAGGGACACTAGTCACCAAACTACTTTAGCTTAATGAAGCAGTTTTGGTGTATAGATCATGCCTTTGAAGTTTCACTGCTCAATTCTCTGCCATTTAGGAGTGAAATCACTTTTGTATAATTCAGCCATACCTCCCGTGGCTGTGACTGCCATTTCTGCATCAGATATAACTTAGTTTTAAACTTTTTATCGTCTGCTTTGTAAATTTAACTTTAATTGCATACAGAAGGCTCGTGCAGGGTCTAGCAAGCTATTAACAGAGCAGGAGATAAACATTCTAAATTTAACAGAATTTACAATAAAGTTAGTATAAACATTAGATGACTCTTTACATGAAGTGTTTAGGAAGGCAGTTCAATTCACATGCAGGGAAGTGTGCCTAGGGCTGCAGAAACAAAGCAATTTATCTCCTAAATGGTAGAGAATTGAGCAATGAGCCAGTAGGGGCATGATCTATACACCCAAACTGCTTCATCAGGCTAAAGTTGTTTTGGTGACTATAATGTCCCTTTAAGGTTTGAGGGGGCGGGTAGCTAACATTTCTAGATAGCCTCCACTTGTTCTGTATTAAACGATTTGGATCATTTGGATGAATAGTGAAAATCAACCAAGATATATGGAGGTCGTCTGATATCAACATACAACAGAACTGCTTAAGAATGGAAGTGAAAAATCTTTTGACATAAGCAGATATGCCTTTATTGAATAGCTGAATGGAATACATTACATTAAAACTGTTGATATGGACAACCAAAACACATTTTGACTGCCAGCAAGTTACCGTTGGTGTTTAATGAATACACTCCTAAATGTCTGAAAAACTTTGACCGATTGAAAATAGAAAGATTATTACTGCCATAATATCGACTGCTTTATTTGAAACAGAGATGAGAGCTGAGGTTTTTTTTTGTTTTGTTTTTTCATGTCTTGATTTTTCTTGTTTTTCCAAACATAATATTAATGAAACAATGTGCATCAACACACCATTAACCCGTTAAGGACACCGCTTCAGAAGCTTGTCTTACGCTTAATGACACAAGCAATTTTTGCATTTTCTTGCTGTATGCATTCAACTGCAATTTGCATCTCTCTCGTTTATTGCACCGACACATATTATATACTGTTTTTTAAAGGACAGAAAGGGCTTTAATTTGATGTAACATATATATATATATATGCTTATTTATTATTAAAAAAATACAGAAAAATGCAAAAAAAAAAAATATTGTGTTTTTTGTACAGTTTTTGCAATAATAATGTGTGCCTAATTAGTGCAGGTTAAAGAAAGTAATTAAAAATAAATTCATTTAGTTGTTCTGATTTACAGAATATATAATGTGTCTGGGATTTTAAGTTTTTTTTTGGTAGTTACAGGTCACAAAGCACAAGGAGTAAAATAAACTTTTAATGTGGAGCGATTTTAGAATTTGGTATGTTTGTCTTGTAAGCTTAATAGCCATAAAAGAAAACATAATTGCCACACAAAAGTGCATATTTATATAAAGTAGACATCACAGGCTATTGTCCTAAGGTTGTTTTGACACTTTCTACGTAGCCATTTCACCGCCAATCTCTGCTAAATATTGGAGTAAAATTTAGTTTTTTGGGGTTTTTGACACACAAACTTATAACAAAGAACTTCTCGTGTATTTTGTAAAGTTGGTGTGTGCTATCCCTGTACAATGTTTTATTTTGTGTTCAGTTACTTCTGCTGAATACAACAGTACCCCATTCTATGTCTTTGGCACTATTTCGTGAAGCTACAGTGCCATATAGGAGACCTGTCCGTTTCAACATTTACAGTAGAATTTTGAGAGGCGGATTTAATGGGCCTATGCTTCAATTTGGGGTATTATAGCAGTTTGACTGTTCAAAAAAACCCACAAAGGCCTACCATTTGTAAAAGTAGACACTCCAGGGTATCTCATATGGTGCATATTGTGCCTTAACATGCCCCCATTTTTTCACCAATATATGACAAAGTATGTGGTAAAAAATAATTTGGGGCATTTTTTACATACAGATTATATTTTTGCTGGGCATTTTGTACATTTCATATTTTCCACTAAGTTCAAACCCCCCAAATTATGCTCAGCTAAGTCTTCTGAGTAAAACAATATGCCCTATGTATGACCTAGACACTATTTTGTGAAGTTACACTGCTGTAAAAGAGACGTGACAAGTTAAGGTTTTTAAGTGTGAATTTTCATGGAGAGTTTTGATGCGTTCATGTCCCACTTTGGAGCACTTGAGCAGGCTACATATTACAACTACACCATAAAGGCATACCATTTCTTAAAGAACACCTCCCAGGGTATTTCTAAAGGCCTATTTTGAACCTTAGCGTGGGATAATTTTTCCGCTAGCTTGTACCAAGTGTAGTGGTAATAAGCATTTTTTCTTCCTTTTTGGCACACAAAGTGAGTTTGCACAGTATATTTTGCAAACCATATGTGTACTACTACTGTATACTACTTCATATGTTGCTCAGCTATGTCGGCTGAGTACAACAATACCCCCGTATGTACCTCTGCCAGGTATATGTGGACATTGAAGGGACACATCTGAGACACAGCCATTTCAGTTTTTTTCAAACTTTAAATTTTTACACTGTGTCCATGTCCCATTTTAGAGTATTTTACAAGGCTATATAATCCAATTACACCATAAAAGCATACCATTTCTTAAAGAAGACATCCCAGGGTAATTCAAAAGTCATATTTTGAACCTTAGCGTGGGATCATTTTTCCGCTAGCTTGTACCAAGTGTAGTGGTAATGAGCATTTTTTAATGTATTTTTTTACTTTGTAAAACTTTTTTTTTTTTTAATTTGGAAAACCCGTTTTTAAACTTTTTTTTTTTTCTACTTATTAAATGTTTTACACTTTCTTAACTTTTTTTTACACTTTTAAATTTTTTTCTAAACTTTTCTTTTACCCTTAACCCCTAACTAGCGGTAAGCAGCACTAACCGTAAATTCCCCCCTTTCCCATAACTCCCACCCACTCCAGCTAGCAAAATATATATAATTATAAAATATTTAAATTAATTTAATAAATTGAACCCCTGAGGTAAAAATAAATAAAAGTTAAACCTCACAGGTTAAAAGAAATTAGATTACAGTATAATACTGTGATCTGTATTTTGATCACTGTAGGCAGTGATCAGCTGACAGGGAAGGGGTTAATTTTTATTTAGACTGGGTAAAGGGGAGTGGTTTTTTTTATTTATTTATTTTTTTTTTTTACTTAAACGTTACTAAAACATTTTTTAAATTTTTTTTTTTTTTTTACCTTTTTAAGGCTTATTTTAAAACTTTTTAAAATGTTTAATCCCTAGTTAGCCTAACACCAAATTCCCCAATTCCCCACGAACGTCCACCCATCCCAGCTAGCTAAATATATAATTTTTAAATATTTAAATTAATTAATAAAATAAATTTAACCCCCGAGGGTTAAAAAAATAATAATTAACCCTCAGGGGTTAAAAAAAAATCAGATGACATTAGTCAGTGATCAATTGGCAGGGAAGGGGTTAATTTTATTAAAGCAGGGGAAAGGGGGGGGGTGGGATTTAACTTTATTTTATTTTTACACAGGGAGAAGAGGATCAGCTCTGATCCGTCTCCCTGCACTTCACACAGAACCCGAAAGTGCAGGGAGGCGGAAGGTAAGTACACTGAGCACATGTGCTCACTCTGACAGCCTGTCAGAGCGAGCACCGGTGCTGGGGCAGCCCGGTTGGGTGCTCCCGGTCTGCCTCTAATACAGAGGCAGACCAGAGCACTGTTAACCCCGCGATCTGGGGTTAACTTTTTAGTAAATGACGGAAATTTTCCATCAACGGTCCTTAACTGAAGGACAAGGTTGACAGAAAATTTCTGTCTGCGGTCGGAAAGGGGTTAAGGATCACAGCAATCCTATCACATGTCCAATTAACTTAGAAACATAGAATGTGACGGCAGATAAGAACCATTTGGTACATCTAGTCTGCCTAATTTTCTAAATATTTTCATCAGTCCCTGGCCTTATCTTATAGTTAGGATAACCTTATGCCTATCCCACGCATGCTTAAATTCCTTTACTGTGTTTACCTCTACTACTTCAGCTGGAAGGCTATTCCATGCCTCCACTACCCTCTCAGTAAAGTAATACTTCCTGATATTATTTTTAAACCTTTGTCCCTCTAATTTAAGACTATGTCCACTTGTTGTGGTAGTTTTTCTTCTTTTAAATATAGTCTCCTCCTTTACTGTGTTGATTCCCTTTATGTATTTAAATGTTTCTATCATAGCCCCCCTGTCTTGTCTTTCCTCCAAGCTATACATGTTAAGTTCCTTTAACCTTTCCTTGTAAGTTTTATCCCGCAATCCATGAACCAGTTTAGTAGCCCTTCTCTGAACTCTCTCTAAAGTATCAGTATCAATACCTAAGGAAAGATGCATCCAGAAATCAAAACACAAATCAAAATACAAAAGCATATACATAGTTAAACAAGTGTTCGGTAGGTTAATAGCCTCATTATACGCCAGGAGAGTTAAGCGCTGCGTGCACTGCCTCCCACAGCGCCATACTTTCTCATGTTTTGAGATTGTACCATTCACCCTGTGGGTCGTCGCCTTGTACATTCTATTAGTGTCCACGGTGTCCAGCACCACAGAGAACCTTTGAGGTTTGGGGGGGATTGCCAGTGACGTGCTATGCAGAGGTTAGCAGCGACCAGTGTGTTCATGGTCAACATTTTTAGTGGTCCATGTATTGCCTCTGAGAGCATGTCCAAAAGGAACGATTCTTGCTTGAAATCTAAGGTAAAGTTAGTGAGCTTTTGTAGCAACAATTAACATAGACGCCAGTACTGTGTGAGAGCTAGGCAAAATATATGTGCAGTTGTTTCTGTTTCGGCATTACAGCGCCAACAAAGGGGGGACAATGTGGCATAAATGTGTGCTGCTCTGTGTGGCACTAGATACCATCTCATCATCAACTTTCAGTGCATTTCCCAGTGATTTATGCTCCCTGACACGTTCTGCATGTGTAAAATAGAGGTATTTTAAAAAAAGTATGGATACATTAAAGGAGATAAAGTGTGTGAGACCATACGCGGTAGGGGGCTGGCAAATACAATACAATAACGCATAAACTGTATACATTTTTCTTGTGTCTGTTCTAATTTGTAGGCGGAAAGGTTATTATGGCTTGTCGAGATATGGAGAAGTGTGAAAATGCTGCCAGAGAAGTACGTGGTCAAACACTAAATCACAATGTGTATGCCAAACATCTGGATCTCGCATCTACTAAATCCATCAAAGAATTTGCCAGAAGTATACGGAAAGGTAAGAATGTGCCTTTAGACATACATTCTGGTAAAACGATTCTAAAGGTACACTCAAATTTTTTTTTTTATTTGAAAATCACTGTTTAGTAGAAATACTCTCAAAAGACATGTATGAATTTGTTAAAGCCTATTGTCGCTGTTGGTATATCTGTAAAACAGCTTGCAAAAGCTGCAGATCTTCTGCCTACAGCCTTTGCAACTCCTCTTTTTCCCCAGCACAGACTGAAAGTGATCAACTTGTTGTTCCTCTTTGAGAAGCCTTTGATTCTCAGCCGTGAGCGCACATTGAGGGGAGGATGCAGGAGCACAGACGACATGGACTTATGGAGGTACTACCTCCTGTGGCTAAGGGAAGAGCAAGACGATCTCCATGGCTGTTTGACTGACAGCCAGGGAGGCATTTCTTAATTTATTCCTAAAAGTGCCTATTTCTTAAAGTAAAGCACTGTAACCCATTCCTACTTTGAGTGTGCTGGGTGTCATTCCCCGCCTCCTTACATCCGCTTAGGAGCTTCTGTTAGCTCTCCTGAGCTAAGCCTGTGCACGGCTAGCTCATTGACTGAGAGTGTCAGCTAACAGTCATCGCCAATGGGCTAAGCTCTGTACCGCCAGGGTTGGCTCAGACAGAACTTCCAGCTAACCTGGAAGAGACCCCAGGTAAGAAGTCAAACTTATTCTTGTGTTTTAATTAATTAAACTGTTAGTGAGTGCTGCATTCAAAAAATCTGCTATCAAGGTTTATACACAACATTTTTATTGAAAATATTGGTAGAACCAGAATTGGCTGAGAAATCCTCTGCCATGCTAACTGATGGGAAGTTGTACTTTGAAGAGTACATGGTGCTTTAAACATTAGTGGACCCAGGTCTCATCAGTTTTTGTAAAAGCAAGTGTGTTTTCGCTCTGATGTGCTGTGGTATTCTGTCAAAATGTTTTGTATCATTTGCTGTATAAGAAGGTCATTTGTGGAATTACATTACATTCATCCTTTTGTTGGTGACACATACACTCATTTAAAAGTCATCTTCCGTACTTTGTCAAACAAATCTCCACGTTAGGCATTGAAATTGGTTAATTAACAAATAAGTTATTTACCTATCAAATCCCACTCTGATTGATATATATATATATATATATATATATGTATCTCTATCTCAAATTCCTTCTCAACAGAAAAAAATACTGAATCAGGTGAATAGAATTTCTTTAGTCTGAGCAAGAAGAATCTGACAATGCTTGTTGGGAATACCCTGTTCTGATGAAGTTTTGGTCGTCAGTTGGCCACTCCCTTGTATTCAGGTACCCTTTAGGACTGTGTGATTTATATATTTATTTTGCAGAAGAAGAACACGTGGACATTCTTATTAACAATGCTGCAGTAATGAGATGTCCTCACTGGAAGACAGAAGACAACTTTGAAATGCAGTTTGGTGTCAACCACTTGGGTAAGTAGATGGGATGTGTTAGACACCTAAGTCCTAATTATATTTTATGACAATAGCTTTAATAATGTAAAGTATTATGACAGGTTCAAATTTTATGAATATATATATATATATATATATATATATATATATATATATATTTTTATATATATATATATATATATATATATATATATATATATATATATATATATATGTGTGTCGGACTGTGACATGCAATGATGTCACTACTAGATTTCATATTGAAATTGCATGGAAGCATACCTAACACAAGCTAGAATGGACAGACAGGAAAATTATGGTTACTAGTACACATCTAGTAAAAACAGAACTGCCAGATTTAAATTCATGTATGTGATATTTCGGTGGGAAAGGTGAAGTAAACAACGGGCAGGCAGGAGATCAAGACAGGAAGAAATAAGCACTATACAAGGGATAGGAGTGGAACAGGGGTGAAATGTGGTTACAATACTGGAGAGAGGACAGACCAGCCCCATTGATGCGGTGACAAGTCAGAACTGTCGTGCAAAATAGATTAAGGGAGCACAGAACATTGACAGTGAGGCATTTGCCAGTAACACTTTTTGTATTTAAAAATGTGAATAATGCAAAGTAAATGTAGTAATATACATGAGGCACATATTTGTATGTCTGCACAACATCAATATTTCAGTCATGTCTCAGACATAAAGGAAAATTTATTCCTACTTACCGTAATTTTCTTTTCCTGGTCATAGGCCATGGCAGCACAACAATGGGTAGCTCCTCCCTATCCCTAACTAGACAGGAACCTAATTAAAACAGAAGGTATAAGTAACCCCTCCTACCCCTCCCACCCTCAGTCTTGTTTCCAGCAATATCCCAGGGCGGGATCTTTGTGCTGCCATGGCCTATGACCAGGAAAAGAAAATTACGGTAAGTAGGAATAAATTTTCCTTTTTCCTGGCCATATCCATGGCAGCACAACAATGGGTAATACCCAAGCAATAACCAAGGGAGGGAAAGAAGAACACAAGACTTCCAAAATATGAATGCAAACTGACAATACACACCTCATAAGGACATGAAAAACTGATTGCCCACTAATGGCACATTATCAAAATGACCAACTCAAAATGTACCAAAAAACAAAAATGTCTGAAAATTGATTGAGGATCAAGCAGCCATTTACCTACAAGTTCCAGGGAAGCTTGGCCACCGATGCTCAAGAGGGAGAAATAGCTCTAGAGCGAGAAATGGCTCTAGAGCAAACATACCTTTAAGTACTGTAATCCCTAGGGCTTAGTAGCCTAAAAAACAGTCAAGACTACCCATCTGTTGATGGCTTATATAGAGGCTTGAAGATCTTTATGGTCTATTAGTAAAAATAAACAGAAGAAATCCAGAAAGAGAGATCAGAGAGTGCTGAGACATATCTCTGAGGTGATGTGGCCAATTCCTAGATAAGTCCTGGATTGAAGAACTTAGAACCTTAGAATTAGAAATAGACCATGAAAAAAGGTAGCCAGGCATATAAGTTTTCCCATGGCCCTCAGAAGGGTATTAATTACTGTAGTTAAAAAAAAACCAACAACTTATATTTAAGCTTTTCTACATTATCGAAACCTCCAGAATGAGGAAAGTAGCACTGGACCTGATGGAAGAGGGAAGAACTATTTTGGGAGATCCCTTGGAGGTACTGAAGAAGATAAGTAGAAGTGGAAACCATGGACTGGGTATTAATATGGAACTGTCAGGATGATTGATATTGGCTCTTGCACCCTATGCAGAAGAGAAATGTTGGATGTTAAGGGAGTCCCTTTTCTGAACATATTTGAATTTGGAGAAAAGTTCCTCAACGCCAGTGGATGGTATTCATGGTTATCACTGTCCAAAGGATTTCCATAGGTAAGTTAACCTCTGCCCTTGTGACATCCTATCAGATCTATGGTGGAGGACCTGGATCAAAACTCTCTCTGTTGGGGTAATATGCCATGGACCATGTCGAACTGTATTCCCAGCTATACCCTGAACTGGGAGGGAGCAAGGTGACTACAGCAGACATTCATCTTTCATCATGAAGATGTAAAAATAAAAGTGATGTGAGGCAAAGGATACATGGCAATAAGCATCCTGCAAATCTATAGACATTATCCAATGTACTAGGAATACTACCTTTATAAATAAGAATGTTCAAGAATCCTGTAAATTAGAATGGATCTCCAACACCTGTTAGAAACAGATTCTTTGTGTTCTAGTTGCTTTTTAAAACATTCTCACAATAGCTTTCTCTAATTGAAGGGAAGCCATGAGATTTACAAAGCATCTCTTTTTACCTTTTCTCTTCCTCTGGTAGAATAATAACCACTTACATCAAGGTTGAGATCTACCATACTCTCTTCATGGTGTGAAATACCTTGGTCTGAGAAGGAAGTTAGTGAGAATCTTTATATCGAAAGGGTCTCCCAAACCTTAGGTCTTGAAGTAGACAAGCTTTCTTGCCCTCTGCCGTTCTGTTGATCCATTAATATAGGAGGATGCATCCGTGGACCAGGTATTAAGCAAAAGAGCCCAGCTAATAGACACAAAGAAAGTCATATTTCTGGCTATAATATAATGCGACCTATGTAGGCTTCTTAGCTGAAGACTATTCCCGGTTAATGACTTGTAAATTGACAAGAGAAAAAGGAAATTTATCTCTGATATGCTCCTCCAATTTATCCATACCAATATTAGATCCTTAGAGATTGGGGTAAAACCTTACAGCAAGATGAAAGCCTGTGCCAGCTGCCACATAGGCTTTAGAGAGGAGCAGAACCATGTATACTCTGTGGAGTTTCAGAGAGATCCCGCATTGTTTACAGGCAGAGAGGAACATTTAGCCAGTCTAAGGACTGCATCTACTACTTAGGAGCAGAGTCCCAGGTACTAGTGTCTGAAATTCCAATAGATGAAGACTGAGATACTCCCTTGTGTTGAAAACCTCTCTCAGTGTAGACCCATTACTCCATTAAGGATCTTAAGGGGACCGAAAACTGGAAAAGATACTCTACACCTTCTGACATCCGAAAAGAAAGGCTAGAGGTAAAAGGACTCTGGAAATCAAATGAACGGATTCTGGAACTACTGAAATAGACTGAATATCCTCATCTGATGATTTCATATCTCTGAATGGATCCATCTCCCAGGATTCCTAAGAGTATTCATTCTGGGAATTGTCCAGAGGATCCAAGCTTTAACAGCTTCTGTGACGTCTTGAGATACCTCCTGTTAATATTGTGTAATACACAGGGCATGGGTAGAAGGGCCTGTAGCCACTTTCAGACAGTCTGTGCAGAGACTTTACTTTTACAAGGATCTCTTATCATATGTCTCACAAACAATTCTTTAGTGTGACTTCCCTTGTATGATCCGGATTATTTTCTTTCCGTAGAGCGATCATCATAGGGAATTCCAATTATTGATAGGCACTCTTTTGTTTAGTAATGACAGAAAAAAATAAAATGGCTTACCTATGTCTCTTAGAGTGTGACCTTTTTTCTGGGAGCAGAGGGATCTGAATCCATAACTGCATAAGATTTCTTTTTATCCTTTACAAAGAAAAATCTCTGCTAAATAAGTAGAGATTGATAGATACAGAAAAATAAGTAATATACCTTCGATAAAGAAACTTACCAAAACCAAAAAGAAGAATTCAAATTAAGATGGAAACTGCACACAAATCGAATTACTTAATATAGGAAAAACCCATAAGAAAACATTGTGCTGAAAAGGGGAGGCCAATATGACCCTGCAACCACTGCAACTGGGCTTACATTTTAGAATACGCAGGAGCGAATCAGATTTCCGCGCATGCGCGGTAATGGCATGGCGCGACCACTGGACTAGCACCTGCGTATTCGCGGGTGATTAAACGCAGAGGTAAAAACCTGAATGGGCCCAAAAGTAAGAATGGAAACTTAGGGACTTAAAATAAAACAGGTTGAAAGGCTGAGATAGAGGAACAGAACAGCGAATAGCCTATTACCAAGTACAGAGACATTGAAATAGGATAATAAATTTAGTGAATACATAAAACAAACATGGAGGCATATAATAATGAAATTAAAAAGCACATAGAATAACTGAATCCAGCAGCTGTATTAAAAGGCACTAGAAACAATTATTGCAAATCTTGAACCAGGAAAGAGGCATTCAGATATTTTCTGGTTTCCAAGTGTACACATTTTATTTACAATTATGGACTGAGTCAGCCCTGCAGGGAATTGAACTGGTGAGCCCAAGTGACAAACAGATTCTTCTGATGAAGTATTAGCCCACTGAACTATCTCACCATACTCAGGTGAGACAGCTGCAATAAAAGGTTTAACAGAGGCCTAGGAATAAGTAAATCCAGCGGTTAAAATAAAAGGCCCAACAGAGGCCTAGGAAAAAGCTCGCTGCTGTATTAAAAGGCATAACAAATACCTAGGAAAAGGTGACTCCTATGGCTGTATTAAAAGATACAGAGGCTTAGGAGTAAGACACAGGAGCCTATGAGTAAGTGACTCCAGTTAAAAGGCCCAACAGAGGCCTAGGGATAAGTAATCCAGTGGCTGTATTAAAAGACACTGAAGTCTAGAAATAAGTGACTCCGGTGGCTATATTAGAAGGCCCAGCAGAGGCCTAGGAATAAATTAATGCAGCTGCTATATTAAAAGGCCCAGCAGAGGCCTAGGAATAAGTAATCCAGTGGATACATTAAAAGGCCCAGCAGAGGCCTAGGAATAAGTAATCCAGTGGATATATTAAAAGACACAGAAGCCTCTGAATAAGAGACTCCAGTGCTTATTTTAAAAGGCCCAGCAGAGGCCTAGGAATAAGTAACCCAGTGGATATATTAAAAGACACAGAGGCCTAGGAATAAGTAATCCAGTGGATACATTAAAAGACACAGAAGCCTCTGAATAAGAGACTCCAGTGCTTATATTAAAAGGCCCAACAGAGGCCTAGGAATAAATGAATCCAACTGCTATTTTAAAAGGCCCAGCAGAGGCCTAGGAATCAGTAACCCAGTGGATATATTAAAAGACACAGAGGCCTTGGAATAAGACACAGAAGCCTAGGAATACGTTTGATAGAAATTCAGATTAGCAGGAATCTCTTACCGTTTAGATGAAACCGATGAAGGGTAGAAGGGGTTATATCCATATATTTGCTCTGTATGTGCCTGCCCAGCCTGCTACTCCTTGGTCACTGCAGGAAATAGGCTGATGACAAAATCTTGCTACCTTTAGGGTCACAGCAAGTAAATCCATGGGAAAATACAAGATAGTGAGTTATACTTTAAGCCTTTCAGTGATGGAATGCTAGTCCATCTCACATTAACTCTTTTAGTGATGAAATGTTAATCTCATAGAATCTTTGCAATCCGTGTGCATGTCCGGCCTGCTACTCGTTGGTCACTGCAGGAAATAGGCTGATGGCATAATCTTGCTACCTTTAGGGTCACAGCAAGTAAATCCATGGCAAAGTATAAGATAGTGAGTTGTACTTTAACCCTTTCAGCGATGGAATGCTAGTCTGTCTCACATTAACTCCTTCAGCAATGGAATGTTAGTCAATGTCATATTAATCCTTGCAATCCATGTGCATGTCTGGCCTGCTACCCCTTGGTCACTGCAGGAGACAGGAGGATGGCATAATCTTGCTACCCCTAGGGTCACCGCAAGTAAATCCATATGCCCTGTATGTGCATGCCCAGCCTGCTACCTCTTGGTCACTGCAGGAATCATGGTGATGGCATGATCTTGCTACCCCTAGGGTCACAGCAAGTTAGAACCCCCGGTCACTAAAGGGGTCTCTCCAGGGGGTCACCTTTGCACAGGGCCGTGTACTGGAGACTGCCCAAGGGAGAGAGGCTGAACTCCCTTGAGGGAGAAGGTAACAACCCTCAGGTAAGCCAAAAAGAAAAAATTCTCTAGTCTTAGAATGACTAAATCTGTCCTAGGGATAGGACAGGAACAAAAAGACTGAGGGTGGGAGGGGTAGGAGGGGTTACTTATACCTTCTGTTTTAATTAGGTTCCTGTCTAGTTAGGGATAGGGAGGAGCTACCCATTGTTGTGCTGCCATGGATATGGCCAGGAAAAATGAATAGAAACATGATTGATTTTTGCTTTTGGCCAAATATAACTATTTTGTACCTCCAGCTCCCAGGAGTTTTTCTATCCATTATCAAAGGATACCACTTGCACAAACAAAAATTACAAAATTGCCAAGTTTACATTATTTATGCATGGAAATTATCACCAGTGTTGTGGATATTACTAAAGTTAACTTCATAGTTTAATATTAGATAAAGCATATACACGTAATTAACTCAGAAGACCATGTGAAAATGCAGCTTGCGAATGGAGCAGTGTATGGAAATGTTCAGAGGTATGATCCATACACCAAAACTGCTTCATTAAACTAAAGCGGGTTTGGTGACTCTAGTCTCCCTTTACATCTTTGGTTATTATAGGTTGTTTCCTCTTACAAATCATGATGCATTGTGATAATTAAGATCAGATATATACAGTGGCGTACTAAGGGGGGGGCGGGGGGGGCGGTCCGCCCCGGGTGCCAGCCGGGTGGGGGGTGCCATGGCCATTATACTGCAACCGCCCGGCTCTGTAGAGAGCCTCGAGGCTGCAGCAGTGATGCGTCCATGGTGACCGCCAGGCACCCAGCATGGGGAGAGGGGGCTGACAGGAGGCTCTGTCAGCTCCTCACTACAGCATATTGATCATGGTACAGAGAGCATGTCTCCCTGTACCCGGCGGTCTTTGAGGAAGATGATACACAGAGTGTGTGCTGCACTTCCTGTTAATCCCGGCAGTACAAATACTTTACCTGTACCCTTGATTCTTCCTGAGCTTTCAGAAGCGCCTTCACAGGGAGGTAGGGGAGGGAGAAAAGAAGGGGAGAGGGGAGGGTGAGAAAGAAGGGGAGAGGGGGTGAGAAAGAGAGATAAGGGGGGGTGAGAAAGAGAAATAAGGGGTAAGGGGGGGGTGAGAAAGAGAAATTGGGGGGGGGGGGAGAAGGAAATTGGAGCGGGAGGAGAGATTTACATTCATCACATACACACAATGCACCCCTTGCACACAGACACAGACACACATACACAAGCAATGCAACCGTTACACACAATGCATCCCTTACACACACAGAAACACACAATGCATTCATTACACACACTCAATGCACCCCTTACACATATTCAATGCATCCCATACATACACAGAAACACACCTTGCAGCCCTTACACATACAAACACAATTTCACACAATGCATTCCTTACACACATATCAGGACATCCCTTACACACTCCACCCCCTGTGAACAAACTCATTGGTGGAACATGAAGGTGGACCCTGGGACCCAGACCTTGAGCTGTGTAAAGGACCCCCAAAAAATGGAGCTGCTTCCCGTTCTCCCAGAACATTGATTTTTGTGACCACAGTTACAAACCGCCTCCAGAGAGCCTGTTCTGCACCAGACCAGTGGAGCCAGACTGCAGCTAGAGCCCATCATCATCCTCATCTGGTTGTAAGTAGGCAATCTAGTATATTATTCGTGGCACTAAGCTCTAATTTACCTCATTAAAGAAACACTATAGTCCCCAGAACCACTTCAGCTTAATGTAGTGGTTCTGGTGTCTATAGCCTGTCCCTGCAGGCCTTTTAATGTAAACACGGCGGCACTGCAGCACTGGCGTTAGTTAACATGGCAAATCATATGGCTGGGGCATTGTGATGTCACATGGGGGGCGGCAAACTTTACTTTTGCCTTGGGCGGCAAAAATCCTTGTACCGGCCCTGGCTGGAGGGGGCTGTGTGAGCTGTGGCCGCACAGTGTCCCATGGAAGTTAGGGTGCCGTGCGGCCAGTACAGCTCACTCAAGCAAACAGCTGATAAACTGGCCGCACGGAGGAAATGTGTATGTGTGACTGTCTGCCTGTGACTGAGTGTGTGACTGTCTGTCTGTAACTGAGTGTGTGACTGTCTGTCTGTAACTGAGTGTGTGACTGTGTCTGTAACTGAGTGTGTGACTGCCTGTAAATGTGTGTGTGGGGCTGCAGGGATTTTGTAGAAGGGGGTGGGGGTTTTGTATTGGGACAGGAGTCTTTATAAGGGGGGATAAGCAGGGGATTTGTGGAAGGGGGTTGCGGGGGTTTTGTAGATGGGGCAGTACAGGATTTGTAGAAGGGGCAGGACAGAGGTTTTGTAGGAGGGGCAGGGCAGGACAAGGGTTTTGTAGGAGGGGCTGACAGCGGTTTTGCAAAGTTTACAAATTGTAAAAATAAAAGAAATAAAACCTTTAACAATTTTTTACAGGTTTTTTTTTTGGGGGGGGGTGCCAAGCACAGGATCCGCCCCGGGTGCCAAATGCTCTAGGTACGCCCCTGGATATATACCTTTCATGTACAGTTCAAATGCAAGTGCTGTGTAACGTGTGTTCATTTAAAAAGACAATACATTATCAGCGACGGCTTAACCTCTGTTTTCCCCCCGCAGGTCATTTTCTCCTAACTAACCTGCTCCTTGAAAAGATGAAGAGATCAGTAAATTCCCGTATAATAAACGTGTCTTCTTTGGCACACATAGCGGGAGAGATTGACTTTGATGATTTGAACTGGGAAAAAAAGAAGTACAACACAAAAGCAGCTTATTGCCAAAGTAAGCTTGCTAATGTCCTGTTTACAAATGAGTTAGCCAAAAGGCTGCAAGGTGAGTTCAAGTTTAGAGTTAAAACAAATGTATTCTCTACATCATAAAAGAATGCCTCTAAATCTATCTATCCACTGGTTCACTGTTTTACCAGAGTTATGGCTTTTTTCTTCTTAGGGCAACAAGCTGTTGGTCCACATATTAACATTTCATTATTATCCTGTAATATTCTTTTATTATGCATTTATTTATTTTAAAAAGCAAAATCATATTGCTTGGGAATATGTGCGGAATCATCTGACAAAAGTCTCCTTGGGCAGAAAATTAAATTTTTTTTATTCTTTTTACTATGCATGAGGACGAACAGCATCGACTAAAACCCAATAGGAAAGCATTTATTCAATGCTTTCCTATGGGGTTGTCCTAATGAGATTGTGGCGCTCGCCGCGCATGCGAATTAGGTCCCCGGGGAAGGAGGAGCAGAAACTCTGCATTTTAACTTGCTGCTCATATGAAGCATAAAACATTGGCAAGTATAATATATTTTCCAAAGTGTGTATTGTATCAAATAAAGAGTTTTATTTATGTTTTTCTTTTTTTTTTTTTATCAATAGGTACAGGAGTAACGACCAACTCCCTACACCCAGGGGTTGCAGATACTGAGCTGGGAAGACATACAGGAATGCATAAATCTACATTCTCCAGCACAGTGCTAGGTAGGTTAAATGGAAAGCGTGACTGTTTAGGAGATCATATGTATGCAATATACATCAGCATGTTTGCTTTTTCTTTTCTTTCTTTTTTTAGCCCATCAACACATTACATTTCAATAAAATGGTATCACTCTGCCATCCCACTTTTGAGAGTTAAAGGGGAACTTCCGCATTAGCTATATTTTTGAAAAGGAGGTATGACCTAGCATGTTCCTCTACTGCAATCCTACTTTACCTATTATTTTATTAAGGGAACATGCAAACTAATGAGTGTCTTCAGAACGTGGTATATACACAGTGTTCCATACAAAGTGCCTGGTTATGTCAGTTCTGATGATCTGTTATTAATAGCTGAGCACAAGAAGCAACAGAAAGCAACTACAGTTTCACAAATGAATTTAAAATTCCAGGACAAATTTTTCTATACATTGGACCAAGTAGGCAATGGACACAACTGTTTATATTAACATGCATTCCAGAGTTTCGAAATCTAATTTGAGAAAAAAAAACAAATTAAAAAACACGTGTGTAAAACCTCTTAATGTTATATATTTTAGCGCCTCTGTTTTGGTTCCTGGTAAAATCACCCAAAGAAGCAGCCCAGCCCAGCATCTATTTGGCTGTGAATGAGGAATTGGCAGGCATATCTGGGAAATATTTCAATGGCTTGAAGGAAAAAGAGCCAGCTCCACAGGCTTTGGACGAAGAGACTGCAAGGAGGCTCTGGGTAGAAAGTGCCAAACTGGTGCATCTTGATGATGCATTAAAGGAATTTGAAGCACCGTAGGACTTTAAATCAAACCTAGCAAATTACCTTCAGTGAAGGTTTGTATCTGTTTTAATATTTACAAAAAAAAATAAAATAAAGAAAAAACACTTATTAAAATAATTTGCCATGTATTTATTTTATTTTTGGTTAACACATAAAAAAAAAAAAAAAAAGAGTTAAATTACAATTATGTAATAACTTCACAGTAATATCATAGAAGACAAATATATATACATTGTGAGAGAATTTTTCGATAAAAGCATTATGCATGGCATTGGAGCATAGTGAAGGTAAACGAAAAAGCAAATAAAATATGAAAGAATAGCATCCAATAAGCAATCAAAGATCAATGGGTCTCAGGCCAGGGCAGATTAGGTATTGTTGTAGGAATGTCCTCCAAGATGGTATAGCAGCACACTGGAGTGGCATCCCTTGCCCCCCACTCACAGTTGGAGGTACATCACAGTCCCATATTATAGACTTAGACCTCAGGGTCCCCACTCCAGAGTTTGACAAGGTCTGCAGTCAGGCTCCAGCTTTGATTGCCTTAAGCCTTCATTTGAAGCCCTGCCTCGAGTCGTCACACAACAGGAATCACCGTGGAGACTAGAAGGCAACAGTCTCAGTACTTTCTGGACCAGCCGAGCTGGAGTAATCACCCTGAGGTGGGGCAAAGCAGTTCTTGGCCTTAGGGATTTCTGGGATAGCTGGGTCTGAATGTTCTCTTCGAACCGGTCAAAAGGCCCTCGGACCTCTTCTAGCTCCCTTGTCGAGTAGAGGCCTTCGCCAGACGAGAAACAGGACAGCGTTGATATTGAGGTAAGTTACTGGTCTTTAGGCCAAGCATGGGGAGCCACTTTCTGCTGACTAGTTTGACCCAAAAGTTGTCAAATATTTTGTAGAGCTTTTCCATAGTGTAGTGCTGTGGGCCTTGAGACCTCAGTAATTACTCAGCATCCGCCATCTTGAAGTAGTATATAGCTCCTCACTTGACCCAAGGATGATAGGCACTGGGATAACCCTTACTGGCAGTGGGGAAAAGGGGCTCAATCACAGAGGCTCTATTTCTGTCAGACAGGAGGCAGATATTGGCCCCTTTTTCTCACACCAACGCCACCAAGAGTTTCGCAGATAGGCCACAGGACTCCGCGTTCTGTAGTATACGTCAGCCATGCAGAAGAGGATTCTTATTGGGGGATGCTGAATCCAGAAGTTATGTGAGAGCTGCTGTAGCTTCAAAAAAGATTTGAACAATAAATTGCTCTCTTAAAGGAACACTATAGGGTCAGTAACACAAATTTATTCCTGACCCTATAGTCATAAAACCACCACCCAGCCCACTCTTGCCTGCCTAAATATAGTAAAATCATACTTTTATTCAAGTCCGCAGCTGCTGCTTCTGCCCCTGACTGCTGACGTAATCAAAAGTCGTGGTCTGAGCCAATCACAGTGCTTCTTCATAGGATTGGCTGAGCCTGTCAAGGATGCTCTTTGTGTTGTCGTCCCCAGCATGGATGGGCTGGGGACGACAACAACACAAAGAGATATAGAGGGGCTGGGGGAGAAAGAGACAATGTGCTTGGAGGAAGAGACCCACAAATGGTGATATGGAGAGAAAGCGACACACAGAGGGACTGGGAGGGGCAAAGAGCCACAAAGGGACTGGGGAAGGGGCAAAAGAGACCGATGTAAGCTTGGGGGGAGACACTCAGAGGGGCTGTAGGGACACAAAAAGACACAGAGGAGCTATGGAAAGGCAAAGGAGACAGACTGGGGCTTGGGATAGAGACACCTAGAGGGTCTGCGGGGACACAGAGGGGCTGGGGAAGGGGCAAAAGAGACAGAGAGGCTTTAACTAACCCACTAGATTTTAGTCGTGTCAACTGAAATCTACTGGAGATTTTGTCGACTAAATCTATTTGGATGACTAAAATGGCTTTCTAGTCAAAAGACTTATGACTAAAACTAAATTGACATTTTCTGCCAAATTTAAAGGGATACTGTAGTGCCAGGAGTACAAAGCTGTATTTCTGGCACTACCGATCCCTCTGCCTCACCCCTCCCTCGCGTCCCCCTTCCCTGGTAAATAAAGGGTTAAAGGGGCTCCTTTATGATTTCTGTTGTGATTATTAAAGGATTTCATACTAAGACATAACTCATTATTAGCATTTATATAGTGGCGACATATTCTGCAGTGCTTTACATTTATGTATTTAGAGGTGAAGAACACTCTGCTCAAACAAGCGTACCCTCTATAAGTAGATATATATAGAATTCAAACCAGGATTTCCCAGTTCTAAGGCAGTGATGTTACCAGTGCGCTAACCAGTTGATATATAACAATCTGTAACATTGGGGTGTATGAATTTGTCACAGAGGCATGCCAGTGATGCTATATGCAAGGTACCATTGTGCATTTATACCAGGTTTACTGGAACTGTGCTGCTCAGCTCCCTCATGGTCCTCTATGTGCAGAGTTAATTTTTGGCAGACAATCTTCTCTAACAAAGTGCTTGCACTGAAGTTTTCAGGGGCCAAGGCCCAGATTTTTGCTTGGCAGTCCCTGCAAGCCTTGCTGGGCAGAATTCACAAATGTCTCGCAAAAACATGATAACTAAGCAGGCCTATCTATGGCTGGGCATCCTATAAAGCCTAATCCACAGTGCACCAGGATAATTAGACATAAATATTTATAGTTTAATCTTAGCCTTATTGTAATCTTACTGCTTTCAGCGATATAAGGGTATCTATGTTAAAAATTGGTCTAAAAAAAAAAAATTTGAGGGAACGATTACGTCATCAGACAGCGACCATTTGCTCCTTGACCGCAGCCAACAACTCTCACACATAATTAAGAAACAGCACACACGGCGGATCCCATGGTTCTAGCCCGCGGAGCACGCGCCCACACTGTAATATTATCGCCATATTCTGGCCCTTAGCGGTGCCCTTAACAAATACGGCTTCCGGCCACGTCACATGCTATCACGTGGGTTGTCGCTGCTCAGAAACGTCACGCTCGCTATCCAATCAGGTTAGGGGGTCGGTCACCATGCCAACGTGTTCCTCCCCCCCTCCCTGGCTGCTCTTTCCGGCCCAGGGCTTCCAGCTATGGTGAGTTGTGTGTGTCCTCATAGGGAAGTGGGTGCTGTGCTCGGGCTGTGAGGGCTAAGGGAGCGTCATTACACCCGGGGGCGTCATTTCTCACCCTGCGCGACAGCAGCAACGTCATGTTATAGGTGGGGGAGTGAGAGACATGGAATGTGAAGGGGGTGACCATATAACAGAGTTGGCCAGAAGATAACACCCTATATACTGTTGGCGAACTACAACTCCCATGATGCTTTGCCGGCCTTACAGATGGCACCTGTTTGTTTATATTATATTCTACAAAGCCTGGGGCCCGTATTTTGGCCAAACATACACAAACTAGTATGGGGGTCACCAGTATGTGGACTGTGTTTGCTACTGAGATTACACTTAGTCTTTTTTTTTTTTTTTTTCAGTATATTTTTTTTTATTGTGTGTTTTTTTTTTTTTTTGTTATACATACATTTAGTTAGAAGCAGATAATTTATATCTGCATTAGTTTATCCACTAACATTTTAATCATCTCAAAAATTAAACAACATAGAACAATCAATCACAAAAACAGACAAAAAAATGCACTGAGAGTCTTTTTATATAAATATTGTGATTTATTATTGTTGTTATTATTATTATTATTATTATTAGGATTTATATAGCGCCAACTTATTCTGCAGCGCTTTACAATATTGGATAAAGGGGGGAAATTTAACAATAAATGAGAAAATTACAAAATATTACAGGAACAGTCGAGGACCCTGCTCAGTAGAGTTAACAGTCTAGAGGAGGTGACCAGTACTTGTGTCTGGTGTAAGATTTGTTATAGATGATGATTTTTATTTAAATTATATGACACGTCTGGTCTAATATAGCCATGCTTTCTGATTTAATGATACAATCTGTAATTTCAAAACTAGCAGAAATAGATTCTTGTTATGCAGTGCACATCACCATGATCATCATTCATAAAGAATTATCATGCTCTGTGTTGCTAAACATGGATTAGAATATGTAAATTAATCATTGTAATAAAACTACTTTTGTTATGGAGACCCCTGTGCGTTAAAGGTCAAAGGATTCTTGATGCAATTTACACAGAAAAGATAAAATGCAACAGACACAAATTAAGTGGAAGTTCAACCTGACTGACTTTGCTGGTCTGTGAAGATATGCAGTATGCAACTCTATTAATGCTTTTTCATGTCTGATGATGTAGACTTGACACGGGGATTTTTAGAAAAAGACCACCAGAGACATTGGTTATGGCCTTGGAATGTATAGCATTCCATGCATGGATATTTTACAATCAATAGAAAGCGTAGCTTACCTGTGACGTATTTTGAATAATGCAATAAGCTGAACTTTTATTTATTTTTTTGCACGTAGAAAAGAATGCAACTTCCTCTCACCATAACCTATGCAAGTAATCTAAGCTGACGCACATTTCATTAACCTAATTATTATTAGGTCTATTTTATCATATTTATGACTTTGGAGAAATGAGAACAAAATGCCCTATCCAAACAGGTTTCTTACGAGGTTTAAACATACACTTTAATATGAGTGAGAAAACCTAACATTTAATCAATATTCTATTAACCTCCCTGGCGATAATCCCGAGTGTGGCTCGGGGTTAAAGGGATTCTCCAGTGCCAGGAAAACATGTTTGTTTTCCTGGCACTGCAGGTTCACGCAGTTCCCCTCTCCCTCCCACCCCCCATCCCAAGTTGCTGAAGGGGTTAAAACCCCTTCAGTGACTTACCTGAATCCAGCGCTGATGTCCCTTGGCGCTAGGTCAGGCTCCGCCTACTCTCCTCACCAGCCGGCGGGGGAGACCTAATGCGCATGCACTGCAATGGCCGCAAACACGCATTAGACCTTCCTGTAGGAAAGCATTATACAATGCTTTCCTGTGGGGATTTCGGCGACGCTGGAGGTCCTCACATAGCATGAGGACGTCCAGCGTTGCTGAAAACACTTTTCGTGTTCTATGAATACAGAAGTCCATCTAGTAGACAGCCACTAGAGGAGGACTTAACCCTGCAATGTGAATATTGTAGTTTATGAAAACTGCAATAATTACACTTGCAGGGTTAAGGGTAGTGGGAGTTGGCACCCAAAACACTCCAATGGGCAGAAGTGGTCTGGGTGCCTGGAGTATCACTTACCTTGTCCCTGCGAGACCCTGGTGTCCTCCGCCCGATGCCAGAATCAGTCTTGTGGGCTCCCTTTCCCTGTGAGCACCGCCTGGCAGAACCAGGCAGGAAATTAAAAAAACAAAGTACACATACACACAATACATTATAATTATTTATATTATAATTTATGATTTCGTGTTTCAAAATTTATCATACCCGCGATGTCTACTGGACTCTTGTTTGGACAGATTTAAGTGAGTTATTCCTATGAATTACAAGCCTACAAAATGAAACAACAAATTTACATACAAAACAATGTACCGCTTTAACATTCAAAAATACTGACATAATCAGACCCCCAGAGAGGTTAAAAAGGTATACAAAATATATAATCAAAAAAGGAAATGATAAGGAAAAGCCAAAAGGGAGAAACTAGCGATCTTTACTAAATACATTCCAATTCATAGGTATCTGTAACCATATAATAGGATATGTGTATGTAGATTGGCCAGTTTTACATAAGCATACTCCTACTATTGGGTATCCTTTCAACACTTATATAGTCAAATTAGTAGTGAAACCTCTTAAAAGTACTAGTATCTGCAAATGTAGCGATTCCCTGAGAATCAGATTAAGTGAAGTGAATGTATCAATTTATCAGCTGAGGTTTGCAACCAGTGGGACTACACCCAAAGGGAAGATAGTATGCTTCCTACTAAAGTGTCTTTCTTTTGTACCCCCCCCAAAATTGCGATCTGGTTAAGAATTAGAGGTAGAAAAATGCTTTTTCATCATGGAGCTTAAAGGACCACTATAGTGCCAGGAAAACATACTCGTTTTCCTGGCACTATAGTGCCCTGAGGGTGCCCCCACCCTCAGGGTCCCCCTCCCGCCCGGCTCTGGAAGGGGGAAAGGGGTAAAAACTTACCTTTTTCCAGCGGCTGGGCTCTCCTCCTCCTCTCTCCTCCGTTCGCCCCCGCTGAAGCTTGCAGCGGCAAGAGCTACGCGCATTCAGCGTCTCATATAAAGCATTTACAATGCTTTCCTATGACATGGCGTGCTCTCACTGTGATTTTCACAGTGAGGAAGCATAGCGCCTAGTGGTGTCAATGAGACAGCCACTAGAACTTTAGGGAAAACCCATTCATAATTATAGCAGTTTCTCTGAAACTGCTATAATTATGAAAAAATGGGTTAACCCTAGAAGGACCTGGCACCCAGACCACTTCATTAAGCTGAAGTGGTCTGGGTGCCTAGAGTGGTCCTTTAAGTAGCACTAGTCTATCATGTGCCTTTGTGGGCACCTAATCTTATGTTACTATGACAAAAACTGGTTGCATTTGGCAAGGTATACAAAAATATTGAAAACCTTTTATTTCAATTGTAAGCACAGAGATGACCTCGGTGAAAAACCTAGACCTCTATGTTTGCTTTAGTAGATTCTCTTAGCTGCTAAATTATATCACCTGGATGTAATTTTAAAACCTCACTCCACCAAGGGGTATTGTAACCTCTTGGGCCAAAAGAGGCAGTACCTTGTATAAATCTCTCTACAAGGTAATAGTATGGAAAAATTGGTACGCCTTTGCTGAATGTTATTGGCTAAACTCTCTCTTCCAAAGAAAACATTTGGCCCAAAATTATGGAAAATAATGGACCCTGCTGTTGCCTTACTAAGTAACTGCATATAGATAAAGGGCTGACACTTTTTATTTCATCTTCCAAATCACTTTCAAATAGTTTAAGCCTTTGAATGTTTTTCATCTGGCTTTTTTCTCCCAGTAGTTTGAAATTGCGCTAGGCAAACTTCCAGTAGTTTGAGAATTAAAGGACCACTATAGTGCCAGGAAAACATACTCGTTTTCCTGGCACTATAGTGCCCTGAGGGTGCCCCCACCTTCAGGGACCCCCTCCCGCCGGGCTCTGGGGAGAGGAAGGGGTTAAACTTACCTCTTTCTCCAGCGCTGGGCGGGGAGCTCTCCTCCTCCTCTTCGGCTGAATGCGCATGCGCAGAAGGAGCTGCGCGCGCATTCAGCCAGTCTCATAGGAAAGCATTCATAATGCTCTCCTATGGACGCTTGCGCCTTCTCACTGTGATTTTCACAGTGAGAAGCACGCAAGCACCTCTAGCGGCTGTCAAGAGACAGCCACTGGAGGCTGGATTAACCTATTTATAAACATAGCAGTTTCTCTGAAACTGCTATGTTTATAAAAAATGGGTTAACCCTAGCTGCACCAGGCACCCAGACCACTTCATTAAGTTGAAGTGGTCTGGGTGTCTAGAGTGGTCCTTTAACGGATCCCTCAGCTCACAGCAGAGGGTTACAAATTGTGACACATTGGTTTCTAAATTTCAAATCTGCTTTGAATTATCACTTATGTAAAAAACTCTGTACCTGTCCTTTTCATAGAGTTCTATTCATTGTATGTACATCAGTGCAAACCATTGCATACTGTATTCATGTAGGAAATATTAAAGGAACACTGTAGGCACCCAGACCACTTAAGCTCATTGAAGTGGTCGGGGTGCATAGTCCCAGGTCCCTTAAACCCTGCAAAGGTAAAAAGTTCAGTTTTTAATAAACTGCAGTAATTACCTTTGAGCGTTAACTCCAACTCTGGTGGCTGTCAAGCAGATTGCCACTAGAGGGACTTCTGGGTCATTAGGCGACCTTTGGTCTTCTAACTGACGCTGGACACTATGCATGAGGACATCCAGCATCATGTAAAACGCCATTGGAAAGGATTATACACACTTTCCTATGAGGGAAAAAATAATTTGAGTGCCACCACTGCAAATGCGCTTTACGTCTGCGACAAAGGGGGACGCTATAGTGCCAGGGAAACAGCTTTGTTTTCCTTTAAGTTCTCTTTGTTGCAATGTCATATCATAGTCATGAGTGGATATATATTTTGTGTTTACATGCGTTAGAGTTTAATTTTAATACACAATCCGAACAGGTGAATAAGAAATAATCATAACTAATTAATACATGAAAAAGCAGAATGACGTCCTCTTACTCTAATGGCGCTATAATGTGATGGGTGTTCTGATTTAATCATCAGACTGTTATATGACAACAATTTTGATGCATTTTATTCTAAATCATAAATAATACTTTTTCATTTGTTAAAGGGGACGATTTACCTTTTTCGGAAGACACAACGTTCTCTTTTGGGCAAGTTGACACAGGAGTTTCGACTAGTAACAGCAGACAGAAGAGTGAGTAAACTTTTATTACTGTTTTGAGAACTACATTACTAATAATGCTCAAACAGCTATGGTCCAAAATTAACCATTAAGAACACTCTGGTGCTGCTAGGTAACCAATGCCCTATAGGAGAGCACTCTTGGTAAGAGCATGTAATCAATAAATTCTACAGTGTTAAAAAAAAATATATATTTTTTTAATAGTCATGCTCTTAACATGTGCTGCATTATTAAAGTGGAAATATTAGAGAGTTTTACATATTCTGAATATTATTTATCTGATAAGCTACACAAGTTGAGATATTGCAGCTAGCTAGTGTAACTCCAGCTTTAGCAGCTTTTATTAGGCAGCTAATGTTAATTATGTGCAAAATGTATGCTCCGATTCTCATTCACTGGCTGAGAGACACTCACCTGATAGTCTCGGCCAATAAATGAATGGCAGTATCTGCGTTCTGCAGCTTTGCAGAAACCAGATTTTATTCATCCATCAATCTTTGGTGTTTGGAGCCTGGTGGGGCATGTGTTAGTGGCAAACAATTGTAAAACAGATTGCCCTTTTAGTGGGGAACGGTGCTAGAGTATTCCTGGCGTACAAAACAGTAGAACAGTCTGAGAGTGTAATTTCTAATGAGTTGCTATAATAGATCTTTATTTTTTGCAGTCCTGGAAGATAATCCTATTTGGTGTAGTAAATGTAATCTGCACAGGATTCTTGCTAACATGGTGCAGTTCTACAAACAGTATGGGTATGTATGTCAGTGCACAGCTGAAATACCAATTTCTGCTTACCTTTTAAACACTGTCTGGTATGTTGTGTTTTTGTTTTAGTTTTATATGCCAAAAGCTTTATTTTTTTTTTGTAAATATATAATCCAGTGGTTAGCAAAGGGGCACCATGCAATATAACCACTACAGATTGCTGTAGTCGTTGCCTCAAGTGTCCTGTTGAAAGAAACGCTGGCCAAATTACAGCTTCCATAACAACTTTATCTCAATGAAATTATGTGGACTGGAGTCCCAGGATGCCTCTTACCTTACAATGAACAATGTGCTGGCGCTAAAGGTTTAACCGTAAAGTTGTGTCCCAAGGAGCCCATTCACACTGCCTTCTCTTAGTTGCTGCTGCACTGATCTGCAAGAATTGGATTGGGCACTGCTTAGAGCAGTAGCGGGCACTCTTGACCAATCAAAAGCCAAACCTTTAGTATTACTGCGGCAGCTGGGGGAAGGGAAGAATGGGGGCAATGATGGATAGTCGCCTGGGAAAAGAACTTCCAGGTTCAACCTTTCTTACATTTTTAGATAGAATTGTTATTTGCGTAGATAATGCATAATTAACACTGAGAAACAATCACTGCTGTCCAGGTTGGACATTGTTCTCTTCTTGAAAGATGTTAAACCAAGTGAGGTTGTGCAGTGTTTGTGGTTTTTTTTTTTTCTATCTGTAGTATACGTTAAAGAAAAAGAGGGATTATTTTTTTTAAAAAGGCAATATTATGTAAAAGCTATTCCTTTTTTTTTTTTTTTCTATTGATCTATGAAGAGAGTAGTTTACATGGTCTAATTTCATTGATATTATCTGCTAAAGGAATGTGCAATATTTTTTTTTATTTTTTTTTTTTTTTTAGCTTTAACGGCATACACCTACCTGACAATCTTCGATCTTTTCAGGTAAGATATCTAAAATTTGGGAAAGATAAACTGAGTCCTCCTTACACTGCATTTACCCCTGCTTGGAAAAACCTTCCCATGCAGGGCGATCATACCCAAAACACCAACACTCTGGCATCATATCGCCATTCCATCAGCGCATCTGCCACTCTGTTCCAATATTCTTCTGTCAAGAATGAGTAGCTCTTTGCTGAAGAACTGTTTGGCATCTGGGGAAGGGAGAGTAATAGACTCAATGACTGGGTAGACTCAATTATGGTTTTCACCTCTAATATTTTGTGTCTTATAAAATCTTACCTGAATTAGGCCTTAATTTTAATATTTTTGAATAAGCTTTTCAGATGATTTTATAGTTTGAAAAATATATATAAATTTTTTTTGTTTATATGTTTAATGTTTTGAAAAAATAATGTTAGAAGTTTACCCAAATATTAAATCAAGGCATTAGTTTAAATGGTATTCTAATGTGTTCTAGCTAATTCAACCAATATTTTGTGATATCTTATTATTTTTTTCTAACTAAATATGAAACATTAATTTAATTCATGTTTTATTTTTGTTTCTTAGCTTAATAACGTGTTTGATAAGCTACTGGGTAATGGTGAAGAAACCAAACCACACATATTCCTTTGGGTATGTATTTGTTGTATATTTACTACGTTGGGGAGTACTTGTTATGGGAATATGACGGTTAGTCCTTGAGTTAGCCTTAATTATCACATGATGGTCTATGCTATCATGCAGTGCTTTAACACCTGTTGATGGCTATACCGTCATGCATCAATAGTACAATACCTGCTGGTACCAAGGAGAGTGTAAAATATTATGGACACATTGCAGGCAATACAGATGTCCTTATAAATTATTATAAAATATATACATTTTTTTTTTGCCTTTATTATTTAGTTTACTTAGTTGGTTAACTTGTATCTCTAGACCTGTGGAGATATAAACCTTAGAAAGGACAAACCCATTACATGCAAATGTGTACATTTTTGCTTTTAAAGTGCAAAGCTCCATCTTCCAGTAATATTTTGCAGATGCATCTCAGTTTTCTACAATGGTCTTATTTATAAAGAAATTAGTACAGTTATCTGTAGTGAATCTTAAATTATTGTGCAGTAAATGTACAGCTCTAGCAAAAGGTATACATTAAAGTTGTATTCCTACATGAAGTGGACAATGTTATCCACTCATTTTGTTGATAGCAAATCCACATCAATTCCTCTATAGATGTATTATTTATGTAATTTGATATAGTTTTAAAATTGAACAAATGTGGTAATTATTTTCCTGGCATCATGATCCTTCTGTGGAGATCAACAAACCTGTTATATTCTTGTTTTGTTTTATTTTTTAATCTCCCTATATTTGTCATCATTTGTGTATATGTAATTTCTGCCGTTGAAGCTTGCCTTTTAATATTCAAGCTGTGTTTTAGCATTTAGTTTTTCATGATCGAGACTATGCAATGGTCCTGCTTTGTGCCTGAAACTATATATGAATAATAATTCTAGGTTTTTCAAGTACACCAAACACGCAGTCAGACACTGGTGTTACATTTGTATATATAAACAAATAACCATTTTCTCTTTTAGATTCGAGAGGTTTGAAGTATTAGCTGTTTTCGCTTCCACGGTACTTGCACAACTGGGTGCACTTTTCATACTCAAAGAAAGGTAAAAAAATATATACTTGATTCTTGTATATCTCAGTTAGAGAGCAGGGAAAAGACTGAGAATGTTGAATAAAATTTTAAGAAAAAAAAAAATCTAGGGAGTACCTATAGAGTGATTACAGTGCACCATGTCCTCTGTCAAACTGTCATTTATATACACAATACTAGAACAGGATGCTAATGTTCTGTACTACCGATTTAACTAACCTGTATGTTTTGAAAATTAAATGGAGTTAAATGGTCTCTTGGCAATGTCATTGAAGTTATATACAATATACCAAAATACTTGGTATTGGTTGTACACTGAATTTTTTTAATATGAATTTTGACATTAAGACCTGCAATTTTCTGGTTTTATATTTGTGTTTTGCAATTTCACTGTAAGTTGAACTTGATTTTATATATTTTGCTTTTTATCTTAGTGCTGAGCGCTTTTTGGAGCAGCCAGAAATTCATACGTGAGTTAAGTTTTGATTGTTGTAATTGAATTTTAGATTGCATGAACAGTTTTCATGCTTTATGTTTGAGAAAATATGCATGTATCCGCAGCAGACCCACAACATCTTCAATTTAACCCAATCCGCTAGTAACCCAAAATACAAATTTTCCACATTTGACTTACAGGTTTAAAAGAACACTCCAAGGTAGAATTTCTACTATTTAGTTTCCCTTATTAATGCATTCTAGTGATATAACTTTTTTATTTTTTTTATTTTATTTAAGAAATTCTCAGGCCCTAATTCTTCAGTGACCATTTCTTTGAAATTTCTTAACGAACACCTGTCTTTCATTTATGTCAAACACTGTATTCACATGTGTTCCTGAATATCCTACCTATTCCTGAGCAGAGATATATCGGAAATATGCATCTGCATGTTTCCTGTTAAAGGGACACTGTGCTTGAATTGCTTGTAGTGACTGTAATTCCATTTAATGTTAATCAATTCTTAGTCAGTTTAACACTGAATGAGTGTGTCGGGAGTTCCACGGCCTGGCCTTGGTATCGCCAAGACAGATTTTATACACTGCCCTCTAGTCATACCAATTCATACCAGCAATGGGCACTGTGATATAGACTAAAAGCAGTCAGCTGACTTTCTCAGCTAATCACAGCCACCCATTTCTATTCAGGCTGCTTCCTCATAAGCACAAGCAACACAAACTTTTATGGGTTGTTGGGGACTTTTTTTTTTTTTTTTTCTTCATTCAAAATGGTTTAACGTATAATGGATGGGTTGTGCTGGGGAACTCCAGACACTATAACCATTTTATATGAAATGAAGCAGTTACCATGCCTACTGTGTCCCTTTAAGATTCTTACCCTTAAAGGGACACTATACAAGATAGTTGTATTGTATGGTACTGTGCAACCAACATATTTCAGTGCTTGTAGTGTCCATTTAAGATTATCCACAGGTGCACAGCTCTATATTTATTACATTAACGCTATTTGCAATAGAATAATGTGTATATATTTTCTTTTCCAGGGGCCGTCTTCTGGTGGGAACATTCGTAGCACTATTTTTTAACCTATTTACGATGCTTTCTGTAAGGAATAAACCTTTTGCCTATGTTTCCGAAGGCAAGTAAACTGTTTTTCCTGTATTTTGAAGGGGCTCTTTAAACACCAAAACAAAAGCTTAATCAGTTTTGGTCCATGTATCATGCCCCTGCAGTCAATGTGCTCAATGCTATGTAGTAGTTAATAAGGTTTTGTTTCTGTTTATGCAGCCTCAGCCACACTCCCTGCCTGTGACTGACAAGGCTGTCATGAAAAGATGGCTCTAATTTCAATCAGTTCTTGCAGCACAATGTGTTTAGTTTATATTAGAAGTTCTCATCTCCTGCTCTCTAAAATTGAATTTCACCAGGATATGAACAGTTCAGGAGATAAGGATTTCTAAATTAAATATACTGAGCAATTAGGGAAACTTAAAAGTGTAGTCTGTTTTTAAAGAAAGTGTGGATAGTGTTGTGGGTAGGCCTACATAAAATGATTTGGCACTACCACAGTGAAAATTGGGGGAGAGCATGTAACAATCTCCATAGCAACTACAACAGGACAACATTGTAACTACTAATTATTAGTAGGCAGGGGCACAAGTGGCACATTGTGAGATTGTGTGCACGCAAGTCACGTGTACACAAAGTACACATTATAGGTGCGCTCCCAACTCTACTTCTAAGCGAATAATGTCAATCCATCTGTAACCCTCGCACAGAATTTGCTGACGACAGACATACTTTTTGCACAGGACTCTCATTACGCAGTCCAGAACAGAGGTTTAGGCTTTCTAGGTCAGGGTGCAACTAGCCCCTCACAAAAGTGCAGATATCTCTGTATGTGCAGCAACATACACCTACAGATTGCTTGCTCCATGTCCACTTCTAAAAGCAGAAATGATCATGGAGGCTGGAGTAATCCTTTAACTGTATTATCTATTCTAAAGTTCAGCAAAAAGCACTCAATCATTTAGGTGATACTCCCTTCGCAACATCAAGTGCAGCGCTAAATTATAAAGCTGGGACTTACCCCTCAGAGAGATACATGGTAGATGCACATACAAACAGAAACCAATAGATCTACATATAGTGAATTTATAATTCAATGTAAGTGGAAATAAACTCAGGTGGCATACACAACATTTCTTCTGCAGATAAAAACAGCTCCCAATAGGATGCATATGTGTAGATGAATCAGAATAAAATGGAGACATTCTAGGTCTAGTATTATATATATCAGTGGAAATATAGTGCACTTATATAAAAAACTCTCACCTGGTGTGGAGCCTGTAGAACTGGCTCCAAATTGTATAGCTTGGGGTCTATTTATGTAGGATGACACTCCCCTGCTGGAACCCAGATGGAGATTGAGGATACTCAGAGGTAAGTATGTGACAAAAATACCATTTATTACCAAATAATCAAAACAACATATGCATATACAATAAAAATTAGTTTTTATATTAGTGCACTATATTTCCACTGATCTATATAATACTACACCTAGAAGTCCTAGAGTTTAGAGCCTATATCCACAGAAAAGGTTCTACTCCATGTGAGTGAGTTTATTTCCACTTACTTTGAATAATATATTCACTATTCCTTCACAGTAATACACTATATGTATATCTAATTTTTTTTTTCTGTTTTTATGTACGTCTACCATATATCTCTGAGGGGTAAATCCCAGCTTTATAATTTAGCGCTGCACTTGCACTTTATATTGTGAGGCGATTATCACCTAAACGATTGAGTGTTTTTGTTTTTGAACTTTACATTGTTGGTCGGCTGTTTAGAGTGCTCACAAAGTTGGATAAAACTTACCAGGAAAGGTTAAAGGATCTTAACATGTATAGCTTGGAGGAAAGACGAGACAGGGGGGATATGATAGAAACATTTAAATATATAAAGGGAATCAACACAGTAAAGGAGGAGACTATATTTAAAAGAAGAAAAACTACCACAACAAGAGGACATAGTCTTAAATTAGAGGGACAAAGGTTTAAAAATATCAGGAAGTATTACTTTACTGAGAGGGTAGTGGATGCATGGAATAGCCTCCCAGCTGAAGTGGTAGAGGTTAACACAGTAAAGGAGTTTAAGCATGCGTGGGATACGCATAAGGCTATCCTAACTATAAGATAAGGCCAGGGACTAATGAAAGTATTTAGAAAATTGGGCAGACTAGATGGGCCGAATGGTTCTTATCTTCCGTCACATTCTATGTTTCTATGTTGCTATGTGTTTTCTCAGCTGCTACCTTTTGATACTATCCAAATCACTAAGTGCCTATAATCACACTACTGTGCTTTCTGTTTGTACCCTGTATTATCTATTCTACTATCATCTACTGTATTTTTCTCAGAAAAATCCTATAAATGACCAGGATAAATTTGCATTTTAAATGAACATTTGGACTGTTAATGTATTGATTTAAAGGATTTACTTAAAATTGCTTCCTCCCTTCTCCAAGGTGAAGTGGCTGTATATTAATTTTCTCCAAGTGCTATGAGTCACATTTTACAATGTCTAGCTATGCAGACACACATTACACTCTGTGGTACTTCAAAAGCAGTAAAGAGCAAGCAGTTGTGCCCGTCAACATTGTTATCAAAAAGGAAAAAAAAAAAAAAAACATACAAAAAAGGTTAATCTGTTCTACACTTCCTACAAATAATTTGTGTGTGACTGGTACACAGTTTTTAATGAACAACTGAAAGTGCATATGTTAACCTTTACTCATAGCCTACCTGCAGTTATCTGGCATTGTGTTAGTGTCTGCTGCTCTCTTTCCAGGCTTCTTGGCAAGATCAGAGATACATACACGGTTATTCGCTAAAGTGAGATTTCAAAGTGAATTTAAAATGTAAGACCAGAGCAGTTGAATGGAAAGCACAGCTGACCGAGATTTTTCCAGTTAAGCAATTTTAACCTTGCATTTCAAATTCAATTTGCATTCACCTTAAATTCTCACTTTAGTTAATAACCCCGTTAATTAAAAAAAAATTGAGATCGTGTAATGAAATGTATTAAATATTGCCTTTTTCTATGTCTCATCTATTAGCTGCTAGCACAAGTTGGCTTCAGGAACATGTAGCAGATCTCAGTCGCAGGTAGGACATGCAGTGTTGAATAGAGATGATGCAATGTGTCATTATTTTTTTATTTATTATTTTTTTTTAACATTGAACCGAGAGCTGCCAACATTCTGCACTGGAGATTCAAAAACCATGGCAATATCACACTTATCTAAGAACTTTTCATTTTTGCTAGTAGTAATGTACTTTTTTTTGTAATGAATATTGAAAAAGAAGCTGAAATTCACAAGACACTAAAAGGGATACTTGAGTAGGGATACATTAATACAATGCGAGTATGACCATTAAAAGGAATGTTTGATCTCAATCAAAGCATGTTATATTATTATCCAGTCAAACATATTGAAGAAAAATAAATTGGAGGGGAAAAGGAGGGAAGAAATGCCCTCAATCCTTTCACTCCCATGGCATATGTGCTTCTTATCCATATAATTTTAAATGTATTGCGTGTTTACTTAAGAGCAATAAAGTTTTTTGTTGTGACCAGCCTTTCCACAATACACTGCAGCTTTCCACTATTGCTACCAATATCACTTGTCAAGTAACCCTATATCTTATTGAGATGAAATAATAGGAACCGCATGTAATTCTATGTATTCCTTCCATCATTGCAGTTTGTGTGGGATCATTCCTGGTCTAAGCAGCATTTTCCTACCTCGGATGAATCCTTTTGTGTTAATCGACATTGCTGGCGCACTTGCACTTTGCATTACATACATGTTAATTGAAATCAAGTAAGTGACCGTTATTTGCTTATAAACCTCTAAATGTGGAGCAGTCAGCAGGAAGAATGCTGTATTTCTGTAGTGATTGCTCCACTTTTAGAACGATGCCTTAAATATACTTGTTATGCAAATTCAAGGCCAAATTCCAGTTTTCAGGAGGTGTACGTGTGTATGTACTTGCTCTAACTTTTTTTTTTTTTTTCTTCTTTTCTTTGCAGTAATTATTTTGCTGTGGACACTGCATCTGCTATAGCCATTGCTATGATGACCTTTGGCACCATGTATCCAATGAGCGTGTACAGTGGTAAAGTGTTACTCCAGGTAAGCTTTTAATCCCTTTACTACCGGAAATATACTGTTTGTTTTTTTGTTTTTTGTTTTTTTTACTAAACTCCAAATTTTAACAAATTTAAAAATCAAAATTGAAAAATTTAGGCAACATAGATGATCCGGAAAGATTCTCTAACATGGCTAGAGTTAAAACATTTTTTGCAGTTCAGAGTTTAATAGTTAAACTTTTCTTCATCTGTCTCCAGTTTAAGAGTTGTAGCAGTTTTGAAATGCTGTATTTATTATTGGTGATATTAACAGACAAATTTGTTCCATGATAAATTGTAGGTTAAAACAAACTGGATGGGGAAAGTGGGCTAAATAGTTCCCAATTACAATAAGTCTGTATTAAATATGTTTTTTGGGGTTTTTTTTTTTGTTTTATTTAAGCTATGTTTGTATGTAGTAAGTGGCATTTTATCTGTACATAGTGCTAGGTGAATTTATAGCAAATTTATTGGTAAAAACATTTTGATTACATTATAGGTGTTGCAGCATGTCGATGCAAACTACAAGTGTGATTTGTAATGCTCCCAATATGTTTACTGCTTCTTCCTGCCATAACTAGCTTGTGAAAAAGCTTTTGTACTCCAATTTAGAAGCATTTACTTGGTCTCCTGCTGTGATTTCGATATATTTTTTTAAAATGTTATATTTTTCTCCATTAAAACCATTATAAATGTAATTATTAAAATAATTTTAAATTCAATTATTTTAAAAAGTATGGAGTAATTTGTCACATGCAGATGCATCTGTGGCAGGTCTATGTTGAGGAAGATGAATGTGCAACATTGACCATTTTAATATAATAAATATAAATATATATATATATATATATATATATATATATATATATCTATATCCTTCAATGTTGCTGGTTAGCACATCTAATGCTGTGTTGTTGTTTTTTGTTAGACTACACCACCCCATGTAATTGGACAGCTTGATAAGCTTCTCAGAGAGGTGAGATTGCATGTTCAATTCTTAACTGTACTGAGTAGACAGATATATGGTATTCCATGCTTCTGATTATGCTCTTATTGACATAACTGTACTTCACCTCCATTTCATATTGTGTATCTCATTACCTGTTTTTTAAAATAAAGATTGTCAAAAAAAATAAATTCTTTACTGTAAGTTTGCCTGGCACTCAAGGCACCTAGACCTTTTAGCTGAAATTGTACTTGGCTAGTTTTGCATTTCTGTATATGCCAGCTTTATATACTTTTTCTCTAGACTGTAAGCTTGTTTGAGCAGGGTCCTCCTTTAATGTTGTAAAGCGCTACGGAATTTGTTTGTGCTATATAAATACCAATAAATGAATAATGATGATGGTTTAGCAATCCTTGTGTGTGTTCTGTAATATCCAGTAATCAAGACCCTGTCTGCAGTACTAAAATGTTGGATTTGTGCACCAGCGCTCACACACCTAGTCAAATATGAGGGTGTATGTGAATTAAAGGTATTCAACTTTGGTTCATATAACCAAAATTGCTAGATTTAAAAGTAATTCCACAGCTCATTGTTATTAAATTAAGAAAGCTAGATCCCATACAAAACTCTATCTGAAATGTTATTTTTAATTCTACGTCTAAAAGCACCTATTGAAAATGGTAGTAGTCACAAAAGAACTGGCATGTTCTAAGCTTTTTCAAAAGAAAACACTGCTTTAAATAGGAATAAAATATCAATCCTCCTTTGTATCTTGTACAGGTTTCCACTTTGGATGGTGTCCTTGAAGTTCGCAATGAGCATTTTTGGACTCTGGGCTTTGGTACCTTGGTAGGTATAATCTAATTAATGCCACTTTCCGAACAATCTTATGTGTGGTGTTTGTGCCAATTTTTTTAGGAGCCATAATGTCCGTGCATTATATGTGGAATATACCATTAAAAAGGCACTTTGGCACATTCTGAATCTCTGTGCAGTGTGCGCACACACTTACACAAGCAGACGTGTGCGCATGAATGTGAATGGGACACATTCATGGGGATATAGCTTATTTTTCGCTTCCAAGGAAAAGAGGGGAGGGTTTGAAAATGCTGCATATCATAAGAAATGCAGCTTTTGCAAGCTTTTTTAAGTTATATCCCCAATGAATACTGCATGTTCTAATTGAAGGTATATCTACTAAAGAGTGAAATGTACTTATTTATGCTAACATTTTAGCATGGAGTGGTCCTTTAACCTTATTATAATAATGAGAAAAGTGCAGCAGGTGGCGATTGGGCTATTTGAGAATTCTAGATAAAAGTGACGGTTATATTACTCTGCCCTATTTTACCAGCTCAATAAAACTATTTGGAATATGTCAGTTATATAAGAATATTGGAAAAATATATATCAAGATCTGATTATGGTTAATTCAACCTCTGTAAACCACAAAGCTCTTCAATTACCTTGATTAAGCTGTTACAGTATCATTATAGCCTGAATTTCCACGAAGGCACAAATGCTATGTTGATTTCTTTATATCTTTCAGGCAGGATCAGTGCATGTACGGATAAGAAGAGATGCTAATGAACAGATGGTACTTGCTCATGTTACAAACCGTCTTTATACTTTGGTTTCAACGTTGACTGTTCAGATTTTCAAGGATGAATGGGTTAGGCCTGTGTTATCTTCCAACCCGATGCCTCCCAATATTTTGAATATTCCTGAACATCACATTATTCAGATGCCTACTCTGAAGAACCTAAGTGATGAACTGACCCCGTTGACATCTACTCCATCCAAACCAAGCAGTCCACCTCCTGAATTTGCGTTCAATACGCCAGGCAAAAATATAAACCCTGTCATCTTGTCAAACACTCAGGCAAGACCCTTTGGCGTAGGATTTAATTATGGGTCTACACCGTATGGTGCTACTTTTACTCAAGGACTTGGAGTGCCTGGTGTTGGCACCACACAGGGTTCACGGACTGGCTTTACAAATGTTGCCAACAGATATGGGACATACGCACCTGGACAGTTCACTCAGTTCAGACAGTGACGGCCTGTTTTTACTTCATTTTATTTCTTACTTTTTCAAAAGTATTTTCCTGTTCCTCTATTGAGGTCTCCATTGGCTCTGTCTTTGAGTCGAGCACATGATTAAACTGTAAAGAAACTTGCAGAGAACGTTTGTGCATGGAGTCTTTGTGAACCTATCACACCCTATAATTCTTTTGCAATGGAAACCACTTGTACATTCCCTATATGATGATTGAGACAGGATTCCAAGTTCCACTCTTAAAATTAGTCCTGTGTTGGTCCTTAGTATTCTAAACAATATTTTAAATTCTTCTTCAACAATAGGATTTTTAATAAAGGGTAATGGTGAAAATTTTATATACAAATGTATTAGGTTTATAAAAGTCCTTAGTTATAGAGCTATAAATGATCTGTGTACATACAAAGAAGGAACATACTAACAGAGTGACTCCAATGACTCTTGGGGCTTTGCGCCATACATTAAAGGGACACTAGTCACAAAAACGTTAGCTTAATGAAGCAGTATTGGTGTATAGATCATGCCCTTGCAGTCTCACTGCTCAATTCTCTGCCATTATGGAGTTAAATAACGTTGTTGATGCAACTCTACTCACACCTCCCTACATGTGACTTACACAGCCTTTCCTAAACACTTCCTGTAAAGAGTAACGTTTACACTTCCTTTATTGCAAATTCTGTTTAATTCTTATCGCTTGCTAGACCCTGCAGGGGCTTCTTGTGTGTGATTAAAGTTGAATTTACAGAGCAGGAGATAACACTTTGAAAGCAAGTCAACATTTGATTGAAAAAATGAAACCTTTTTATTTTTCATGCAGGCTGTGCCAGTCAGTCATGAAAGGTATGGCTAAGGCTGCATGAACAGAAACCAAAGGGATTTAATTCTTAAATGGCAGTGAATTGAGCAGTGAAAACCTCAGTAAAAAGTGTATTTTTTTAATTTTATAATTATAACTGGATTCATTCTCCAAAAGAGTGTTGGAGGTGTAGTTGTTTTCCAATTATATTTTCTGTTCATTGGATGTAAACACTCCAGTTAAAGCTTACCTTGGCACGTCCGATAATTACAAACTCCATTTGATGCCCACCCAGCCTGTTGGTTATATTTCACTGGTGGGTAATGTAAACCATAATGTTATATTTTAACAGGAGGTGTTATTATAACTAGGTTAAATGAACACTATTGTGTTAGGCGTACAAACTTGTATGCCTACAGTGTTGGACTACCTATTTGGATGACTGGCCCTGCTTAGAATGGAATTAAAAGGTGTTTAACTCCACTTTTCTTGATCACTATGACTGGCCCTGCCTCCACAGCTGAGATCATCAATATTGATGATCTCACAGGAAAGCAGTGGGAGACAATTGCACATGTGCAGCAAAAGACCAAGCTGTGCCAATCAATGCTTCTTTATGGGGAATGTTCAGCGATGCAGCACTGAAATAGGAAGAACCTCTAGTGGCTGTCTGAGTGGCTGCACCTAGAGGTGTTACTAAGCATCAATGGAAAGACTGCCTTTTCTATGCAAAAAAACCCCAAAAAACTGTTTGAATTGCTGAGCCTGCGGAGACAGGCTATAGACACCAGAACCATTATACTGTAGTGGTTCTGGTAACTATTTTAAGGTCCAATCACTGGTAATTATCTAGTTTAAGCAGCAAAATTGACTTGTCCCTACTGTATTAGTCCATGATTGCTCACCTTGGTGACATATATGTCAACTGTATTTCCTATAATACCAAGTCATCCTTTTGGGGCAATGGACTCCTCCCTTCTGGTATGATGATCCCTCTTGTGGCGAACTCAGATGTGTTCACGTATCCTAATTATTATTATTTTTTTTCATTTTCATCTGTTTGGTATATTTTTGTCGTTGTGCTGTATATCTCCAGATGTAGGTCAAACTGGGTCATTTAAAACAAATGGGAAAACATTATTTTACTCCACAAGAATTAACTGCTTTGGGGAGGTAGATGGTATGCACTAGTAAAACATTTTAATGGATTGATGTAGTTAGTTTGCTGCTTTTCAGTCATGTCTGTACATGATTATGCACCAAAGAAATGTCAAGCATTTTAGTAATTACACATTTATGAGCAAGCAGACTCCAGTCTTGAATGTTCCATATATGGAAATATCTATTTATCATTTGAGATACATGTTTGCTCTGTAAAACGATCAAGTTACTGTTTTGCTTGAGTGTTGTGACCAGCAGACATCAGAGCATTACAGCTGTGCTCAGACTAATCGCAGTAGCTCCCAGACTCATCTCTCCTATGCATTCTCCCTTCTTGTTCATTTCCAGTGGACACGCTAAAGAGGGAGCTCTAAGCACACCACAGAGTGAGCCAGTACTCTCTCATTGTAGATGGACATGAACTTGCAGTTACGCTGGTGTTTTCAACAGGTTATTACTGTAACCAGAAATTGCTGATTTCATGTTTTTCATAGAATGGGCCAAATTGATCAAGATAAAAACAAGTGTCATACCAAGAGTAACCTGTTGTCTCTTCAGAGTCCAGTATATCTTCTATACTGTTTGACCAGGGGAATCTAGTAGATCCTTTTAAAATATGTTGAAATACAAATAAGGTGTTTGTGTATTTTTACTTAGTTCTGTAAAATGTTATTAGAGGGTCTCTATCAGAACATGTTTTACGGTCTAACATATGGCATTTTAACTCCTTGAACTGCCAGAGCTGTTTGTAAAAAAAAAATAAAATGTAACCTCTACTCCAAACATGCAATTGATAGCTAGAACATTGCTAGTATGATTCACCGGTCGTTTAGCACTCGAAAATAAGGCGAACAACAAAAATAACAAATGGAAAATATAATTTTTTTTTTTATAATCCAACTAATAGTGATGGAATAATTCTGGATATAGAGAGGAATACAAATAACTAGTATATTACACCAAAAAAACCCCCACACAATATGAAAAAAAATAATGAAATTTAAATGTTAATTCCTATAAAGATATAAGTACTGCTCTCAAAATTGCCATATAAGAATAAGCTCTCTGGATACCCTGAAGGGGTTCTTAAATAATAAAAGCCCCATTTAGAATAACAAAGTCTTTTTAGAGCGGTTATGAACTGATCAACTGTAGTTGAACACGTTGACTGGAAGAAACAAAGTCTAATTGCATAAATGGGTATCAATCCACTATGATTAAAGGAACACTTCAAGTACCATAACCAATACAGCACTAGTAAGTTATGGTACCAGGAGTGCCCTGGCGCCACCTCAGTTTAATTAGTCAAACTGCTAATGGTATCACTTCTTACCCAGGGTCCACTAGGCATCACTTCCTGCCTCTTTGCAGACAGACTTTCTCCACTAATTAAGTCTGTCGGTGCAGGCCTTAATGTGTTGGCTGAGAGTGATTAGCTGATGCTCTCAGCCAACGAGCTAGCACTATATTAGATAAGGATCTCTAATGGGTTAAAAAGAACAGATGGTTATTTGCTATGCGGTTTTCTGAGAAGGCCATAGTTTTGGCTAAACGTTCTGACGTCATTATAGTCATGTAGACAAAGGACCACATTCTGTTGTTGCCCTCACTTTCTGGACAAAGGCTCTTCCCATTGAAGAGCTCTATAAGCTGTACCATCTGTTGAGGTTTTTTTAAGTTTTTATATATTGCTGTTTGCATTGTGAGTAGAATAAATGTATATTTTTTTTTATAATGTATGTTAGATTGCATATTAATATTTTTGGGTGATATAGAAGTATATTTCGGTAAGCCCTTAATACAAAAAAGATAAACATAAAAAGACTTATCCCAATCACCCATAACCTATAAATATTAATTTCAGGCACTACCAGGCTTGGCTCAAGACATTCTGACTCACTTTTTGCTGCCATGAAGCAGAGAGTGATGTCTGATGGACCCCAGGCGAGACGTCAAAACATTTGCAAATGGTTTAACCACTTACAGTGGAGAAGCACCAAAGAAATACTGAAACCATAATGCACTGTAGTGGTTTTAGGAGAGTTTCTGCCTGCCTCTTAAAGGCCACACTCTCTAAAGCAGTGCTTTACAAACTGTGTTGCGACATTTTAGTGTGTCGGTTGGTGTGTGTCATGCGAGCGGAACTATTTTATGCAGGTGTCAATTAGTATGTACTGCATACTAATTGGCACCTGCATAAAATGGTTGCGCTTGCAAGACACTATTCAGTGCCGATTAGTATCCATCGCTGTTGAGGGATCATACTGCGCAATGGACAACGGAAGTGGGGCATCATGACGTGGTTACGCTTCCCAAAGAGCCTTACAAAAATTGTGATAAGTGTCATAAGTGTGATCCTATCAACCTCATACATTTCAATAAAACGGTAAGTAGTTATTGGTTTTATTCAAATATTTTTAATTCTTGCACATATTTACATATTGTTACTCATAAATGACAACAGTCTTGGAAATGTCTTATCTTACAAATCCTATATTTTTAAAAATATACATGAAAAAGGTTTTCATGAGATATGTTGTGTCCACAATTATTTTGTTATTACGATTTATGTATGTGTCTGTATCTCTTTTAATTGGTTAGTAATAGTTTAACCTCCGGTTTGCTAGTAAAACTGCTTTAGAGTGTCGTGAAATGTCTAAAAAGTGTCACCAACATGGAAAGTTTAGAAAACTCTGCTCTAGAACATCTAGGCTAGTGATGTTGAAGTAGGCACCCTTTTTTTTCTGATTTTTAAAAGAGTGTTTAGATTATCATTTTTATTTCAGTCAATCAGATGGAGATTTCTCATTGTCGACATAAGAATAAGTATCCTAGATACATTGCTTATAGTAAAAAGCATCTGTGTGTTTCATGTTTGCCAGCAGCAGCTTCTGAAGGTCTTCTATGTGCTCATTCGGTAGCCACACTGGATGTCCTTTCCTGAATTAGAGAGTCAGTGGAAAAAGCCTTCAATATCCCATTCCAGTCAGCTTCTAACAGCAGTATTGAAGGTACATATGCCCAGGATGTTTCCTGACAGGTGCCTGCTCTGCCACTAAATGCCAGTGCCTGGAGGAGAGGGGGAAGGAGAAGCCAGGCAGCGAGGGAGGCTGTTCTTGCAGCCTCTCACTCCTCCTTCGCGCCCTCTGTGATGCCGGGAGCCGGAATATGACATCATTCCTGCCCCAGCATACTAAACATCGGGTGGAAGGAGTGAGGAGCTGCCCTACACTGGACCCCATGGAAGTGAGTGTTTGAGGGTTTGACTGTCAGTGTGTGTGTGTGTGTGTGTGTGTGTGTGTGTGTTTGTCAGTGAGTGATTGTATGTGTCAGTGAGTGAATGTCTGTGAGTGTCTGTGTGTCCGTCTGTCAGTGAGGGAGCGTATGTTTGTGTGTCTGTGAGTGAGTGGTTGTATGTCTGCCAGTAAGTGTTTGTGTGTCTGTCAGTGAGTGAGTGCATGTCTGTCAGTGAGTTTCTGTGTGTGTATCATTGAGTGCATATCTGTCAGTGAGTGAGTGACATGAGGGGGTGGCAAAGTAGATCTTTGCCTAGGGCGGCCGAAATCCTTGCACCGGCCCTGTACCTCAATACAAAAGAAAGCGGTTTGATCATGCTTTTTCTACAGAGCACCGCAATTATGGAACAACTTCCCACACATTTTCAAATCTTCCCCAGGTCTAAAATACTTTAAGAGAAACAGAATGCACCTGTCATGGTTGATTATATATTTCCTACTTGTTATATGTTACATTTTGTATGTATTGTGTATTAATATTGTTTTTGTATTTTATTGTACCCTATTGTATCAATGCAATATTTTGTGGACCCAGGACATACTTGAAAACAAGAGAAATCTCAATGTATCTTTCCTGGTAAAATATTTTATAAATAAATAAATACATTTTCAAGAGAAGCATCCTGAAGGCATTTGCTTGAGTGCAGTAATTTCCTATTAATACCATGTTAAAGGCTATCTTTACTTGGTGTTGCTGAAGCCCCTCCCCCCCCCTCCTGAAAAAAGGTTCAAGTTACACCCTTTTACTGAAGAATGTTCTTTTTTTTTTCTCTCATAATAGATCTAAAAAATACATGTACAGTGAGGGTCAACTCTTACTTGGATCCAAAAATTATACAAAATATATAATATTGTGCATCTTTATATTATAAATGACCCATTTTATTCTGCTTTTTAAACAGATATGTGACAACTCAAACAGTACAAATTAGCATTATACCATAAAAGTACAAGACAATACAAAACATCACAAAAACTGTTGCTTAATCACCCTTGGGGATTACAGTGGACCATCCTTGTTACTCGTCGTAAAGTGTCAATTATGAAAGAAAAACAAATAAGAAAAACCTATATCTCGTTCAGGGCGCTTGAATAGCTAAATTCCCCATTCTTTTTTTCCAATATTTGCTTGTATCCTTATTTTTAGTCGTCTGATAACCAAAGGCCTCCATTGTTAATTGATACCGGACTTGTGAATACAGCTGGTCCCTGAAGAATGTTCTAAATGCTGAGTTGCTAATTCAAAGGTTGATGCTGCTGTGGCCTGACTGGCCAAATGCACGGTTTTACTCGTGAATGATGCCATTGCATATACAGACATCTTGGCAATAAGCTATTTAAAGCCTTTATTGTCTCAGGCATGGTCTGTCATCCTGTCATTGCTTTCACTTAAAGGACCACACTAGGCACCCAGAACACTTCAGCTTAATGAGGTGCACTCGTAGGACTTTTCAAAAAAAGTGTTTTATTTTCTTAGAGTAATAAAGTTTATCCCGATGTTTCGACCCCTTAGGGTCTTTTTCAAGGTGCCAAATACAGTGTGAAACACAGTTTATATAGGATAAGTAATAGCACTTACCAAATCAGATGTGTGTAGTGCCGTCCCTCAAACCCAGAAGTGCACATTGCGGGACACGTGATCACGTGATTGTGCGTAGTGACGTGCAGCCTGGTTGCTAGGCTGTGGATGTAAATAAACACCGTGTGATGGTGATCATGCCACATAAAGTGCAAAAAAAAGAGTGTGGTTTAAAACCAATAAATGGAGGAATGTCTGGCATATCATTAGCTATTAATTATTGATTTCTATTAACTCCGATCATGCCTTCGTCAGAGAAGTGTATAGTGATAGAATAATATTAGAGTGAAATTCAACTGACAAGGGCAGATTAGCTAAGTGGTAGATTTTATTAAAGGTATTAGCCAGTGATCACAGAGCAGGTGCAGGTCTACAAAGAGTATACTATGTTGCAGAACTAGGATCATAGGTCTATGTATGATATAAAACCTTATATCCCTTTACAATGGAAGGTTTTTTCAAAGAGTGAATGTTAGGGTCTAATTAACCATAAGATAGTATAAGACTGGATTAACATACATCTAAACAACAATTTATGGCAACCTTTAAGAAGGAACAATTAAGATGAAAGAATGTAATAGAGAGTTTATAAATAAAGTCATTAGAGCTCAGCTTATTTACAGAAACATAGAATACGATATGTATTCATTGAGTCCCTTTGGAGCAACTGTGTCCAAATAGTGTATCCAATATGTTTCCCTCTGTAGGAGGAGTTTGGATCTATCCCCTCCTCGAGACAGGGGAGGAACGTGATCTATAGCAATGAACCGCAGTGTCGGGAGTCTATGGGAGGCCTTCAAAAAGTGCATCGCTACAGGCTTGTCGATTTGTTGGTCTCTGAATGCAGTCAGAATGCCAGAGCGATGCCCTCTTATTCTTTCTTTCAATGTAAAGTCTGTTTTTCCAACATAAGATAGTCCGCAGGGACATGTAATGAGATAAATTACATGATCTGTGGTACATGTAATATAATATGGTATTGTGATTCTTTTTCCGCTGTGTGGATGTGGGAAGGTTGTTCATGTGTACATGTGGCTACATGTTACACACACGCTACATTTGTATATATAAAAATATATATAAATATGGACATTTTAATACTGATCACACTTACACCAACATTAAAATACAAACAATAAGCATAAACACAAAAAGAAAATGGCCGATATTGAGACTTGATGTGACTAGTGATCTTTGAGAATATGGGAGGGTTTCAGGGAGGAGAAACAGTTTTGGAATTATTTCTCCTTTTTCTGCTTCTACCAATCATTTTTCTTTATTCCCTTTCATTTTCTTTCCCTTTTTCCTTCCTTTCTACTTTCCTTCCCTTCTTTCCCTTCCTAATTCCTATATTCCTTTTAGTTGTAGTGTACGAGGTTCCTTTATAAGTTATAATTACGTTACATTTTCCTTTTTTAATCAATTGAATCCTTTTTTTTTTACATTTTAATCATCTTGGATCAAAATTCATTTTTTATGTAAAATATTAAGCCAATGCCTCCATAGTTCCTGGTCTTTTTTTGTTCCAATTTATTTGGTAAGATATCCATTTCTCCATTTTTAGTTGTATAGTTATTTGCATCTTGATTTCTTGCCTGGTTGGAATTTTTTAACATTTTCCAATTCCTTGCAATTGAAAGTTTTTTACAGTGGTTAAAATATGTATTATTATTTTTTTGTCCTGATTATTTTGGTTTGGAAAGTTTAAATGTAGTTATGCTTGATCAGGTGTTAAATTCCACTCATAGCCGAATTTTTAAATTAGTCTTTGAGAAATATCAAACCATACAATCTGTATTTTCAAACATGACCACCATATATGTATATAGTTAGCATATTGATCACCACATCTCCAACAATAATGAGGAGCATTTAAGTATATTTTATTAATAATTGAGGGAACTCTGTACCATCGATTTGCCAATTTATACTGTGTTTCCTTAAGATTTTTGCATTAACTTAATGCCTTATTTCATTCTTTATTCATTCTTCCCATTTTATTATAGCAGTAATTGGAATATAATTTTTACATATTTTAATAATTTCAAGACATTTAGATATCAAGTGTTTATATTTATTCTGTTTAAGATTTTTTTTATTAAGGATTTCAGCTATTTGAGAATCATCATTGAATAGCAATTTATCACTTAGGAATCCCTTAATTCTCAGGAATTTAAATATCTCTTGATCACAAATATTAAATTCTGTTTGAAGTGTGGAAAAGCATTTTCCGTAATTCCTTTACTTATCCATAATTGGTTTTCCTAACCCTCCTGAGTGTTTTTTTTTTTGGCTAGTAATTGTAAATTTTATCTCGGTTTCTTCCCAGCCCAAATGAATTTAGAGAATGCAGTCTGAATCATACTTAGCCATGGAGTCTGAATTTTCAAAGGGACCATTCTAAATATATACGTAAACTTTGGTAGCATATAGGCCTTTACAGTATTTATTTTCCCCCAACATGAGATTTCCAATGATCCCCATTCTTTAAATGATCTATTCATGTCTTTTATCAGAGGAAGTGAATTCATTTTCATCCATTCACTGGGTTTAGTAGATAAATATGAGAAATGAGATAAAATGGCTATTTTCCCATTTAAAATTATATTTATCCCTCAGATAATTTATTTGAACTCTAGACATATGTAAAGGTATCGCTATAGATTTTGTTTCATTTAATTTGTAACTAGGTATATGAGTATTCCTTTATACAATCCATAATCCCATCTATCAATTTGCATGGATCTTTGACAGTCAATAGAATGTCATCAACATATAATTTTATTATCTGTGTATTCATTTTGTCAAATCCCTTAATTTTAGAATGGATTCTAATTTTCCTGGCTAGAGGTTTCGATGAAAGAACATACAGCAGGGGTGATAAAGGCTACCCCTGACGAGTGCCGTTCGTTAAATAAAACCACAGCGACATGATGCCGGATCCTACTACTCTGCCCTTGGTTTGGTACATAAATCCATTATTGCTTCAAAATTCTTCCCTTTACCCCAAATGCCTTCAACGATTCCATGTATCCCCAGCCGACTCTGTCAAATGCCTTTTCGGCATCCAATAACAGGGTCAGCTGGGGCACTCCGTTAAGTCAGGAGCGGTTATATAGGTTTATAAGTGATCTTAAATGACCATTTGGGGTTCTTCCTGGGACAAATCCCACTTGGTTATTATGAATTACCATATCTAAAATTAATTTTAGTCTCTGCTATTATAGCTGCATATATTTTTACATCTGAAATTAGAAGAGAGATTGGTTGATAGCTTGCGATTTCTTCTGGATTTTTACCTGGCTTGAGCATGGGAAGTATATTTCCAACTCTATAGGTATATCTCCTTTATAGGCGAAATCGTTGAAAGCATTCACCATATGTGGGGTCAGTTCTCCTAGAAATAATTTATAAAAAGAAGCATCAAAACCGTCTGGTCCTGAAGCTTTCCCTGTTTTTTATTTTTATTGTATGGGATACTTCTTCTGTAAAAGGTATATTTAACTGATCTAATAATTCACTAGATGGATTTGGTAAGTCCATATTTCTGAAATAATTTTCTATTTTATTTTCTGTAGTCCCTTTTTGTAAATTATAGAGTGATTCATAATTTCTACTGAAGACCTTTCCTATTTTGTTTGGTGCTAAATATACTTTGCCTTCATGTACAATTTTAGAATTTTTTTTTCTTTTCTTTTAATTTATTAGACAAAATTCTATCGGCTTTATTACCATTATAATACTATATGTTTTTTAAAGAATGTAACATTTTAGAATTTTTTTCCCATTAATAAGCTGTTTATCTTATTTTTAGATCTTGTATTTCATTGGACTCAATCGCACACTTGTGCTCCAAGTTTTATAAGATGGCCTCTAATGACGGATTTACAAGCGCACCATATAACTGACGGGGACAAATCACCTGTTTGGTTTTCTAAAAAATATTCTGTTGTTTTTTTTAAAATATTCTTCATTTTGTGTTTGTTTTAGAAGATTT